GTTTCAGGACGTGAAATTGGCGCCCTGGACCAGCCCCGACGTCGTGCTTTTGATGCTTCTGACTGCGCAAAAATATGATCGAATACAATCTTTATTAAATTTTTATTTTCATCTTGGTTCAGGACGTCAAATCCGCACCCTGGACAAGCCCCGACGGCCTGGCAGCGATCCGCCTCGTCAACGGAACCGTCAACAAGCTCCTCGTCACCATCTCCGACACCCTCGCGATCGAGATTGTTACAGAAGTTGAGAAGGAGCTGATTACGGACCCGGCCGTCCACTATCTCAACTTCGAACTCCAGAACTTTGCCACCAGTGCAACGATTCACGGGGTGAGTAGATGATTAGGATGGGGACGTCGGTTTGGATTTAGGACTCAAAGTAAAAGAATAGTTTAATGAGCAGCTCATTTCTGATTTGGGGCCGTGCTCGAGTAATCCAGATCGCACCAAAGTGCCCGTTTACAAGGAGTTGGTTTCATCTTAACGGTGTTAAGTAAACCACTACTGCGAGATGAGCGTTCAGCCTGCGGCTCTAGTCTGATTCAGTGAGCATCTTCGTGCTAAGCTTCTTTTTGGAAGTGGAAATATCAAATGAAAGTGAAGCAAACTGTTTATCTCAATCCCTCCGTCGGCTGGGCTTTTGTTAAATCGAACGTAGACGTTATGGACTTTTATGCAAAGGGGACAAATGAATACAGTGACTGAAGACATGGGTCTCTTTTTGAAGCACTTTCGCCGCTAAATAGTACACCCGATCCGTGCTCCAACGTAATATGGCCTAGCTTCAAAAAGAATCTGGTCACCAGCCTTAGAAGGGTGGAACGAGTCAGGGGGATAGAACAAGAGGGCTCGGGTGCAGATCGCTAGTAGAAACGCTCTTAGCTGGCTGGGGGTTTTGGTTCCAAAGCACTCTCAGCCTCTTGTTTAAATCCCAAGGTCGGGATAACTTGATAAACAAGACAAAACAAGACATGTCTTTGTGTGCAGTTTCTCGGCCAAATGTTTGCCCCCGGCGCCATCCCGGAGCGCCTTGCAATGGGTACTCTTGAGGGCTTACGTCATCGTGAATACGTGGAGGGCAGAGACGAAGACTACGTCACGTCCAGCCTGGTGTCAGCGAATTGCGCTTTCAATCGTTTTGCCCAGGTATGCCCACCCGTCATCTTTTAAAACCTTGCCTCAGCTCTCTGCCGACTCCTGTGTTATTATTAATCTGACCATGTGATGGAAGGATATGTTTTGTGACTTTCCCCCAAGTCCTGTCTTTGATCACCGCCTACGTGGGACGTCGAGTGGTCAGACTATAGACAGTTTTTCAAGCTCAAGACCCGCGCTTTCAAATCCTCTTCTCTTGACAAGTGCGGCTTGATACTGTGCGACTACGAAGAGCAGGCCTAATGAGATTTCCGGTCTCCTATACATGTACGTTTGTAAGGTTTTGAGAACGGTGAGGTCAACTGTACAGGAGCAGTGGGAAGCTGTCGAACACATGACAGGATATGTTTGGCCATCCGTCCAAGCACAAATGAATCGTCACGGAATTTGTTTGGATGCAGACGTCGGAAGAGTATCTGGAGGAAGCTGCGGGCGTCAATGTGGAAGGCCGACCGTCATCTGAGCCGATCGACGAACAACATCTCCTCGGGCACAGCCTTACGGAGTTCCACTATCTGCGAGGGACTCTGCAGGACTAGTAGATCTCAGCTCCAGAGTGCCCTTACTTGGTCTAATAGCGTCCTGAATACAAGAGAGGTGATCCAGGCATGGTAAACTAACTTGTTGTTGTAAAGACGATCTTCCGCAAGGAGCGAATCTGGTTAACATGTGCTCTTGCGTTCATTGACTAAAGAATTCTGGGAGCTTGTTTTGTAAACTAATTATACTTTAGCTACATCGTAAGCAGAGGTGTCCACTAGCAAGAGGTCGCCTCTATCATACGCTTTACTGGCTTTCGTCCTTCGACAGGTTTGCAACTTACCTTACGGCTTTAGTAAAAGTATATTTCTGTGTCATCAGTACATTTCACTCTGAATCCAACATGAAACGACGGGATCTGAAGCTGTGTGAACGAACATTGACAAGCACTACGACGGGCACGATGAAAGTATGCAGCCATAAACGAGTGAGCGAGCACTCGTGCAACGGAGCAATAAAGCCGCTAGTCAGTTCCAGGCCGGAAATGAAACATGCCTTGTGAAGAGTGGTAATTGCTCTGACAGCTGCATTGGCGCAATGATCGACCCGCGGTTTAGCGTGACGTCACGCGAGTCTTTATTGATAGAGGGCTGCATCATACCGACCGTCATACCAGATCACTAAAAATGCATTGTGAGAATGGGCGGCCTTCGCCTAAGCTGTATGAGTATCATCATGCATGGCATGTAATTTCCGACACTTGCGTCTATTGCGTCTGAAACCTACGCCAGAAAGGGCACTGCGGTACTCGAGACACTTTAGCTGCCAGTGGTCAAAGTCTCAAGGCGGATCGAGCGCAAATCTGAACTCAGCAAGCATTTGGTCTAGTCAGCTTACCAAAGTTTTTTGCTGGGCCCTGCTAACCTCAAACGACGAACCGCCCTCACCTATCGCCCCTATCCTGAAGTTGAGTGTCTTGCAAAAGGAACACGGTTTGTACGACCGCTGACTTAATCTACTCTGAAAAGTCCGTTCTTGGCGCAACTTCTCGATCGTTGCGCTGTTGATCCATGGGGCGTGGATCCTTCAGTCAGCACCGCCCGTCTCTAGAAAGCCCACCAGCATTGCCGTCACACACGCTCTCCTGGCAAAGGGCACGGCCCATCAATCTTTCACCTTCAACAAGCTAACGTCATCCAGTACGTCAGCAGACGACGCCCCGAGGTGCGGCCCGGCAATCTGCTAACCTGGCGGTTTCCCCTTTCCGGGCGCTGGCGCAATGTGCGTCACCTAGCGATGCTCGGCCCTCCGCTGACGTCATTGCTTGGACGCCCGCGCGCGCGCACTTTGGGCCATCTCCGCCCCGGCAGTCAATCCTCGCTTCTTGCGCAGCGAGCGCCTTACGTCGGGTGCGGGCCGGGATCCCGGACAGATGCCGACGTCAGCAACGCCCTCCTACCCGCCTCTCTTTTGTCATGTTCACTTGTCAGACCTCCCCTTTGTCCCGGTCTCCTGGGCACTTCGCTTTTCGATGGCCAGCAGGCGCTCCTGCGGCTCGGCTGGATACCCACTCTTTAACTCCTCCTACTGAAGCTTGCTCTGTTCCACCTGTCGTATTCACCCCCGTTACATTTGGACCGTCTGACTGACCCACGTTTACCTACAAAAGATAGTCACGCTTCTCACACTCTCGTGTTATCATAGGCAGCAGACCACTCTCAGTACTCAGAGTACTCCAACCTATCCAATAGAAATCTTAGAAAAGAATACGTCTCAACCACCCGTTCAGTCCCCTGACCTCGACCGGTCAAGAGCCCACAGCCCTCTACCTCCTTCCAGTCATGCGAGCCCTCAATCTCTGCCGAGAAGAGGAAACACATCTGAGCCACTTTGCCCCACGCTTTTTTGTGCTGCTTTCAAGTCGTTCCAGAGTTCGCATAACGCCTTCAGCAGGGTCTTGTTCCGCAGACCAGTGAGGTTGAGCGACCCGTAAACCTCAGTCCAATGCGCATCTCGCACTCTTTCGATGAAGCTTTCCATGGTTGTCTGCAAGACGGTTTCCGCTCCTGACGGCCAAACCCCCTGAAGAAAGCGCTGGAGGATCCGAGGCGGCCCAACTAGCGTCTTTGCATACTTCCCTAAATCGGCTCCAGACTCGACCTGGCCTTCAAGATACGCTCGAAGCACCGACTCAACTTGCTCACTCGACGGGAGAGTCAGCTTTGCAATCGGAAAAAGAAGCGCCGATTCGTGAAGGACGAGGCGGTGTGAAAACTCTTTGAGAGTAAGCGCGAAGGCAACACGAAGCTGCGGGTTGAGCTTGCAAGTTTCCGTAACGGCGGCGCTAAGGAGAGTGGACACGTAAGCAGCCCAGTGACCCTTGACCGCCACGTCATTAAGATCGACGGCTGGGGTGCGCCACGTGGAGCCCAGGAACTCGAGATTATCGAGCAGCAGGACGACCCGCGCGTGCACGGGCAGGTCTAACGGGAGAGGTTCCGACACGGGCGAAAATCTGTAGTAGTCCGTCTTGTCATTGAGCTTGAACACCGCCTGAGAAGGACTCTGCAATCCAAGAGAGACGTCAGACATCTGCATGATTTGCAACGACAAAGTCGGCCGTCTTTCAGTCTGCAAAAAAGGAAAGATTTCCAAAGAAACGAAGTTCTGATTGTCCCTTCAATCTGGATCCTATCTTGACACCGACACTTGTTGAATTGAATTCCCGGGGATCAAACACAGCAGCAAGTCGACAGAGAATTGCCGCCTCTTTATCAGAGCATCACCAAGTTTTGCCTCTTGTCAGAGGCCTATATGGATTAGTAGTCCTGGATCGTTAAAATCGCACCGCACTCATTGACACGACGCGCCGTCTTTCCAGGTATCAGAACCGGGTCGTGTTCCTTAATAAGCTGAAGACAGTAAAATCGGCATACGGAAACCAAGACTGAAGGTCCCAGAATCTGGCGCCAGCGAAGTGATTTACCTTGTTTATGACCGCAGCAACGTTGGTCATCAGTGTCCAAACCTTCGTTTTGACCACCGCCTCGAGCTCTTCCAGGAGTGCGCGGACCGAAACATGCTCCGCCTTTTCCAGGGCCAACCGCGTCGTCCTCAAACTTTCCGCCCTCATCCTGTCCAAAAACCCGTTCGCAACTCCCGGAACACTGATAAATATCGCTCCCGTCTCTTTTGCCGCCCTTTCTACAACGCTCGTCTTTCCCCAACCCGTCATACTAGCCAAGCACACGATCCTTCCCTGCCCATCAGGTCCTATCCAACGCTTTAGGTCATCCAATGTCTGCGACCCCCAGTGTTTCTCTGGGGGGATCCCCCCGTTGAAGTAGGGCAGATCTGCGGGGATCGGCTTGTGATGGGCTTTTTGGAGCTCGGTTGAGCTGGCGGCAGATTGGGTAGACTGGCTGTCAACACGGGCCCGCTTGATGCGGCCTGCGCATGTGGCGAATTTGGTCTGATCAAGGAGGACCACATCAGTTATAGACTAGATCCGCCACAGATCGAAACGAGAAAGGCAACGATCAGAATTCTACTACTGATCGCCATTGGTAAGTTGTCCCTGTTCACACAGGAAGGACCAAACCTGCTTAACGGTTATTTGATCAATTCTTAACCAGTCCTGCTTTGGGCAGAAGGTCGTGAAAGCGCATTCTTACCAAGGCTCGGCTGGGCGTTGTTTTGCCCTCATGTGATACTGTCAATCTTGTTGTCCTTAAATATTTTCGGTCAACCATCGGCCCGACCTACAGAAGAACGCTATTTGCGTACGAACCCTCAAAGCGAGACCCTCTGACTCTCCTGGAGGTAGTTGTGTCCAACAGCGAAAAGGCGGTTGCCAGTTAACAGCCCACTGTAAGCGGCTGAAAGCCGACATCTCACAGTAAAATTCGAAGTAAACTACTGCATGATCTCGGGTGTATGAAGATTGCGGAAACCTTTGAACAAACGCAATCCCGTACACGAAGTCTGCTTTTTGGACCATTGAAGTGCTTACCCCGTTCCGCCGTCTCATATTCCTCTTGACAACGGGGCCCCGGATCCATGTCTATCAGGTGTACTGTCGGGGGACCGCAACGCCGATTCCGTCAGAAGGACTTCTGCGGCAGGTGAGGTGTTTCGCGTACAAGAAAGCAACAAGAGAGTAATCCTCGCGCTCCACAAAGAGTGGTGGCCGCTGTGTTGAAAAGGAGGTGCAGCCTACAGGGAAAGTGGGTGGCGGCTTCCTAAGGAAGTCTCCGGAAAAAAGATGCTAGCAGGGCGTCCTCTTCAACCTTCTCCTGGATGAAAGCAATTATCGCCGAGGATCGCCAGCTAGCTGATCGACGTACGGCAGACGCGGCCGGCCCCCTAGCTGGAGTTTCAAGTTTGCTCGGGTCCATGCACCGGCCGGGCAAAGCCCCAGCCGCGGCCGCGCGCGCTCGCCGGGTTTTAGTGCTCTCACGGTCTGTTTAGTTAAGTCCTAACCCAGTGCCGCTTCGTCAACAACCGGCACAAAACCCGGCAGGCCCAAGTTTAATACACTCAATATATGCCTTGCTTGGAGCTTTGCCTGAGCACTAGTCATCAGCGTATGCCAGAACCGGCACAAGCAGGGTCACAGCAGGGTCACAGTGACCAATGGAATACTCAGCTGAGTAACCGTGCCTACCCTGTTTGCTGCGCAGCTTGCTGCACTGCCTGCTGCAATCCTGCACTGCTGGGCCCTTCCTGCTTTTCAAAATCCGGTTCGATTCCACAGAGCTTCTCCCTAGATCCCCAAAGGTCAGTACTTAGGAAGCCCGCACAGAGGCCTTTTTCTAGCTGCCTCCTGTTTCTGACCATGAGCTGCATCGCTGCTGTGCGGAGGGCAGCGGCCGCTCCGCTGGAAGGCCATCTCGCAGCCCTGCCAGCCTTGTTTCAGCAGCATGCAGCAGATCAGGTGCGCACTTTTGCTACTGGTGAAGCTAATTCTGATTCGCAGCCAATCCCGAAACCGCGGAGGGGTTCTCTGGCCGATGTGGCAGACCGGCCCCCACCTCCGGAAGCAAGTGAGAAATTGTCTTGTTCTTTGATAGAGTTTCTTGCATTTCTTTGCTCTGCCGGGGGATGTCTGCATGCACTTCTGTGGAGGCAGCATTGCCTGCGGATGCAAATGCAGGGTTTGAGCGGCGTGAAGGAGGAGGTCGCATGACTCCCAACTTCCCCTCGGTGATGAGACGTGCACAAACCCTGAAGGATTAGTCACTGCTGAGGAACGCGCAGGAGGGCACCTTTTGACAGCGATCGTCCGAAATGTACAATCACCTTCTCCTGATTGTGCGGCACCTTGCCCCCTCGCCCCCTCGCATTGACTATACTATTCGTATGACATCCATATAATCCGTGTGACCAGACGACATCAAATCAAGACCCACCAGCTTTTGGCATACTTTCCTACCTTTGACTGTCGTCTTGACACCCTTGTGACCTTTCTTTGATCCCACGGGCAATCAAGTATTCTCTCCCGCACATCCTCCCTTCACATATTGAAAATCTAATCACGCCCTGCTATTCTTCCTGCTTTTTGCAGAGCCTGTGATCGAACCTGGTATGGACCCCAGTGACTGGGACCCCAGCGACCCTAAGTATCAGCGGCTTACGAAGCAGCTAGTGTGGGCCGTCAAGACACGCCCTGCCCCAGAGGCCACAGAATCGGTGAGTCTTTCTATGCTTCACTGTGTCCGACTTCCAAAGTTCAACACCTGGTATGAAAAGGGGCCTTGGATCGAGCGGACTCCAACTGCTGCCACCGCGCAGTTTGAGAGCAACTCATGGATGCCGGACGTGTTTTGTTGAGTGCACTTCTGGTCAAGTTACAAATGGGAAGATTAATCAATTGGTTGAGTTTGGCTGGATGCCGGCCAGAATCATGATTGGGAAACCAAATAACGCATTTCGGCAGTTGTGAGTTGCAAAGAACTGCCAGCTGGAGCTAACCTAGGGCGTCTGACATGTCCTTCCGCTGATCACAGCTAAGACAAGACGAGCAAAGAAAGATTGGCAGATCTGGCCAGCTTGATGCGGTTTGAATGGGTGCGGTGGCCGTTGCTGGTTGCCGATTGAAGCACTTTCTAAATTGATGGTATCAGAAGACATCACTCCGTTCGGCTTTCTCGTTCGTTGTTGATGTAAGCGGTTCAAACTTGGTGGATAAGCACCCAGCCAAAGAGTACAAGGTGTGACGGCTTTCAGTGGCGCTACTATTCTGTGAGTTGGAGTATCCCTGGACGAGGACCACCAGCCAACCTAGTTTTCACAACGAGCCTAGCCCCCAGGACAACCGACAATGGGATCCGTTAGCCGTGCCGCTTCTGTAAATGGTATTACATTGGAAACGGAAGAACCCCATGCTAAAAGTAGCAGAGTGTTCTTTCCTTCCACAGAGCGCACGAGTCCTCTGAAGGCTTTTGTTTCTTATCGAAGTCTTCGTCAAATGTGACATCGGCAGCGCTAACCCCTCTCTACGCTATCATAGCGTTTGAAATAGGTTCTGACCATACCCTGACCGCTCATTATGACAGAGCAGCCACGGCTTCAGAATAAGCACAATCGGCGTAATTATTTTGTTCAGACCAATGTGCACGAGCCCACAAAAGCCTTGCCTGCGGACCGGCACACCGACGCCCGCAGCGGGAATGTGTACGAGGAAGACGTCAAAGTGGGCGCAGGGCGGTTGAATGTCCTGCATCTGAAGGAGATCTATCTGAAGCGCTTCGAAGCGAGGAGCCAAGGCAACACGCTCGAGGCCGGGGAGCTGGCGAAAGAGTACGGCATCGATCCGGGTTTATTAGAAAAGGTACGTTGTGATCTTCTTTGTGTAAGGGAGGAGGCTTTGGTACTGATGCTTCGGGGCAGTGAAGAGCGCTCTTTGACCTCCTTGCTTGTCAGAATTGATGACCGGTATGCTTGACTTTTGAAGCGGATTGCCCGTTTTGTCGAAGGCCCGTCTGGGCTCTGTCTGGGGGCTTCCTTGAGAGACGAGGGCTCGAGACGAGTCGGCAATGCTAACACTCTATGAGGCTACGTGTACATTTCCCGGCAAGAATTGTCGTTTTCCTTTTCCAAAACGACGAGTTCCATTTATCAGGGGGATCACGTCCAACTCGCAACGTGAAGCGCTCAATATACCCTCCCTTGGTCGTGAAGGATTCAAGGCGGTGCCTGGTTCTCAATCCAGCAGTCCGTTCAGTGTCGTAAGTATGTTTCGACAAGATTCAAGGGTAAACCCAAGCTTGGATCAAGATCCTCGTCAGTATTCGTCGAAGTTTTGATGTCCCCATCAAAAGACAGCCTTGGCTGATCTCTCCTTTTCCGCTCAACCCGGTTCGAGGACGTCCCAAGCTCAGCGGAGTCCTAAATTGCTACTCAAAAGCCCACGTCCACTCTTCCGAGCGTTGGCAGTTTCCTTAGCAAGTAGTGCCCCGGCAGTAGTGTGGTTTTCTATACCACGCGGGAGGTTCAAATTGTTCCTTTCTATCAGTGTTGGGTGTTCACGACTTGCAATCCACCATTAAAACTCCAAACGGCATAGCTCTCATTTTTCGGAGCTGTGCTATTTTCCAGGTTTTCAAGTATACGGAGCTACCCATCGCCCGACAAGATAGACGAGGCAGGACCGTTGGGCTGAGCCACGAAGAAGCTCTGCAGCTTGCAAAAGAAGAAAGCTCGATGTCTTAGGCGCATGCGAGCAGCAGTGGGTAAAAGTGCCGAGAGGGTCAAGCTGCCTCATACTCTCTAGCAAATGATCGCTCCCAAAGTGGGGCACAGTCAACCTGACACGAAATGGTTTGCTCATGCGTATGCATGGTTTATTTCAAGCGCGAATCCTACTAGATTGTTTTAATGCTTTGCTTAAGCTGATTTGCAGTTCTCGAGCTTGGGCTCTGAGTTGCATCAAGAGTTTCCTACATCTGATTGACACCCTCTTATTGAGCTGGCCGTGGTCAAGATCTGGTATCCTTTTTGGAATCAGGTCATGATGATCACTTGTGATGACCGGGTCATGTTCTAGAAAGCTGCAAGCCTCCCGTTGCCTGCCTTTATTGAGGGAGGAGCCCGAGCGATATACGTAAACAGTATCGAGGTATGGGACGGAAAGTGGATGCCTCATAGTCCAGTGGTGATGACGGTCAGAGCGGTTGAAGGATCATGGGCATGGCCTATTCAGCAAGAAGATACTCCATGTGCATGAGCGTTTGCTGATTCTGAATTCGAGGTAACTTTCCATTTATGAATCTGCTAGAAGACCTCGATCCGAGAGGGATGGATTTAATGCATGCAAAGCTCTGGAATCTGGATTTGCGAAGACTCCGAGGCGCAGGATTAAATTAGGGTCGATCCAATGGAATCTGCTCAGAATGTCGACATCTGCTATGACATCAGACACACCTGGTTTAAAACTGCGTTTTCACGGTACTGTATTTGTTATATGGCCTAACCGAGCGCTTCCATCGACGGTATTTACGCCGGTATACTGAAACGCCAGTGTGCTGCGAGGCGGTTCTCTACCTAGAGCAAGTCGGCGAGAGCCGGAAGGGCCGCCGTCGTCTGGACCGGCTCCAGAGTCCAGACGACGATCGGAAAATACCGTATGGTTAGAGGACTCGGTTTGATACGAGAATCGGAAGTTTTCGCTCTCCAGATATAGCGAATTTCTGACGCACTAGCCAGACAGATGCTTTTGCAGCGAGATCGAGCAACTCGCAAGCAATTAATTGGGCTTCAACTCGCTTCATCAAGCGCTTAAAAGCAGTGATTTGTAAGTTGTGAGTCGTGACCTTCCATGTTTCCCTTTGTTACACAATCCACCTTGTAGTTCCCCTTCACTTACAAAAGCACGGTCGGAACTTAGGAAAGCCTTTGGTAAGCTTTTACAGGAGATTATTTGCTCGCTTGTTGTTGCAGCACAATTGCGGCGCCACATATATTGATTGAGATTGTTATCCTCTTTCTAAACAGTTGGTTGGACCGTGAGAAGTTATACAAAGCCCACTTTTAGCTGACAAGAAGCCATTCTTGCTCGCGAGACTATCCCACTCACCCACAGGTCTGAACAAGATGAACGGCGTCAACGCAAGTGGAAACCGGACAGGGAAAATCATGGTTATCATGCTGGTGACCGGCATGCTGGCGGCAGCGGCCAGTGTGCACCTGGGGCCTGCTCTGTACGGACGTCCGGAGGAAGCTCAGCAGCGCACGTACTCGTCCGAAGGTGCCCTCAAGAAAAGAAGTGAGTGCTGGCTTCCTCTTGGACATTTCAAGGAGGACTGCGTGATGCAGCCTTGGCCGCTGACAAAAGCAGCTTTTACCTGCACTTCTCAGACCCTCCTCTGACGATTCTGGCGGACCGGCCGCCATGTGCAGAGCTCCTTCTTCCTCATGGTTTATCTGCATTGTGCTCGGAAATCAATTTTGTGCTATGCCTTTGAGTTAGTCAAGCTTGTTTCCAAAGTGTCTCTGCAATCGTCGGCTATCCAAAGAGAGAGGGGCTAGATGGGAGCTCTGTTTTGACCATGAGGGTTGAACGTACTGAACCGGTATATCAGAATGGCGTCATGCGTCAGAATATATGCTTAAAAGGATAAATATACCTTGCCTTTCTCAAATAAGCCGATTCTGGACATGCTGAAGCTGCGAGCTTTCTCAAAACAAGTCTCAGTGGGCTCTGAAGAACCACAAATCTATGGGAGTGGACCGTACGTATAGCAACCTGTTTGTTCACAGCTAACCACACAGGCTGATATGCTCAGGAGAGGGATGCTGTTAGCCCGAGTATACGTGGTACTGCTACAATATTCCTCTTCCACGAGCGGACTTTTCACTGCAGCCACACTTTGCTCGCCATTGCAGGCGGCAGAGGTTTTCTGGGGCTTTTCCTGCGCCCCAGAAATGTCTTGCAGCTTACATTATGATCCTTCCAATGCAACAAGCAACTCATTTCTTGTTCACGGCTGTGAAGTTCTGGCTGCTTGAAATTTTGCTTCACTTCTGGGAGGGATCAACAATTTGTGGCAGGGAGAAAGAGTGGGCATAACTGTGGGATCATTTCGCATTTATTTGTCATTACCTTTTGTCAGCTTTCAGAGTTTCAGTGACAGACTAACTTCTTCTGCAACCATCTTTGCAGGCATGTGGTCTAAGGGCCAGAATAAGTAGCTTGTCACACTTTCAAGTCCCCAGCTTGGCAATGGCAGACTAGTAGTTGGAGACAATGCTGCGACAATACTAGCGTGAGTGGGGCAAATTAAGGAGGGAGCAGATAGCTTTCAGCAGTACACTTTGGAAGGTAAGATCAAATTCCAAGGGCTGACACAAATGTACATGCACATTGCAGTCTCTTTCAGTTGGCGTAGCTACCCTTGTTGGGGTAGTAACTAGACCAAACTCAGGTCTCCATACTCTGAAAATTGCTGCACTTGTCATTGCATTCATGCAATACATTTCACTCAAATCTCCCGCCTCATTCTGTCTGTCTTTGTTGCAGGTTCCCCACATTGACTACATCAAATGTGGTGCAGAGAATGCCACAGACATTCCACAATTTGTCTGCTGCCTGTAGAAGTAGCGGTTGAGCTCATTTCGTCGCAATTAGCGGTTGAGCTTTAGCACCAACGGCAAGTGTTCTGCCATTTACAATTAAATTGGGTTTTAGTCACTTTTCTGAGGAGGAGTTTCGTGCGGAATAAAAGTACCGCAGTCTGTAACCGGTCACCGTGGCTGGGGTCAGACTGCGATGCCGCCCCCTGCGGTTGGAGGGCTGCACAAGCCCTTCGATCACTACACCAGTCTCTCAGAGATACCCAAGCCAGGTCAGCCCCCTCTGATACGACAGACCGCCGACGGGAACTTCTGGTTGTTGACTTGTTTGGCTGTGGTAAAGATTGATGCGTTGAAAGCTTGACTCAACCTCAGCGTCCTGTTGTCATGAGGGGCCATCGTCGAGGAAGCTCTCTAGGAGTTCCCGAAAGTTTACATCTACATCTCCATTTGTACTTTCTCCTCCTCCTTTCTCCATGTCAAGCGAAGCCGGTTCCGATCTGACCATGTACAAGAAAGACAGCTTCTCATTTCTCTTTTTCTTGCTCGTAAGGCTCTAGAAAGAGTAGTGACTGAAGCTGTTTCCGAGAAACGTTGTCCAGCTAGGCCTTCCCTCAAGCCTTGTTCGCAAGCCACACTATCATCCTCGGATCTTGGCATACGACCCCAGGTCTAGATGCAAGGTTTCAGGATCTTAGGGCTTTGGGGCACGATGAATTTGAGGGGCTTCCACGCGGCAGTTTACGGTACAGAACTGCGCTCAAAAGCGACTTTGCCAATGCAGAGCTGCCGATAGCGGAGATCCTAAAGGAGGCGCACACGCGCTGGCTGCGGCCTTTGGAGGTATACGACATTCTGAGCAACTATCAGCACTACAACTTCAAGCTCAACAAGGAGGCTCCCGTCCTGCCTAAGAGTGAGCATGCCTTTGCAACCACGTTCTTGCCGCCTGGAAGTCGTAGGGGGTTGCGTTTTATCTATGAGAACCTGTTGCTCTCGTATCCTGCATTCCGTTTCTTGTACTGTGGGGGTTTACGCTGCGACCCTGAGATTGGACGATCATAAATGTATAAAGACGTTAATGGCATCTAGTAGTCCCGAATGCTTCATGGGTGTCTCCTTTACTTGGATTAAAAGCAAATGGATTGTCGAGAGCTTCTCCAGTGTCGTAAGACAGCGGCTTCGTTGGCCTCACCCTCACCATCCGGCTTTGGCGCATGCGCAGGCGGGCAGCTGTACCTGTTTGACCGCAAGGAGGTGCGCTACTTCCGAAAGGACGGCCACGTGTGGACCAAGAAGAAGGACGGCAAGGCGGTGCAGGAGGCGCACGAGAAGCTCAAGGTGCCCCGCCGCAATCTTGGGTTGGCGTTTGGGATTAAGGGTTTGGAATTTTAGTTCCTTCAAGTCTCAAAACTTCAACTCCCAAACTGTTGTAGCCCGGCAGGCAACCCTCACGTGTCCAAGCGAAGGCTGGCCGGTCCTTTCGAAGTTTTTGGCCAGTCGGTGTTCTGTGGTTCCTCCCGGGTTATTGAGCGGCCCGTGTTTTGAAGTCGATGTCAGGCTAGCGGCCAGGTTGGCAGTTGACAGGATTCCGCAGCAGTGGGCGCTCACTTGGGCGTTAACTACCGCCGGGCTGACGCTTAACGAGAATACAAAGTGCGACTTCAGAAGCCGTTTAGTTTGGCGGCCACCGCTTCCTGCGGTAAGGCAGAATCTGCTTTCACCTACTATTTTGTTCCAATTCGACACTGGTTGTAAATATGGGGTGTGGTCCTGACGCCTTGTGTAACTTTGTGCAGGTGGGAAGCCTTGAGATCCTGCACTGCTACTATGCGCACTCGGAGAAGGACGACCGCTTCCAGCGCCGCTGCTACTGGATGCTGGACGAGTGAGATTTTGCCTCTGCATTTCTTTGTTCTTGCCTCCCTCACCATGACTGCCTGTTCAGCTCGACCCTGCCGGACTCTGTCGTCGCCTCTCCCCAGCTTGACGGAACCCGCAGAAAGAGGGAGGGCACGGGTGTCCAAGCAGAATGCTTTCGTGCTTCGACGGCCTTTATCACACATAGAAGGCCACTTCACTTTCGTCAACTGTGGCCTGATAGTGCCAAGGCGGTTCTACGGGGTGTCTGAGTGGGCTCACGTGCTCCAATCATAAGCTGCCAACAATTTTTGACGCCCTGATCTGTATGTTATCTGACAGTGCTCCTCTTCACGTGCAGAGCGCGTGAACGCGTGGTCCTGGTGCATTATCTACAGGTTACTGAGGTGAGCGCAACCTCCGTGCCACAGCGGGGCTACTGTCTGTGTTGTCAAGTTTCTGCTCCGGGCTGTGGATTTTGGCCGTGTTAAAGCGGACCTTCTGTGCCTTTTCGACCACAGACATTTTCCCCTTTGGGGCGGTCTGGTAATGATAAAGGTCACCCATTTGTATCTCTGTCATAATTCGCTTGATAAGCTGCGAAGAGACGTCTAGCCAGACACTTTGTCAGTGTGCTTTGTCATTGATTTCATTCTTTTCCCTTCACTCTCTTTCATTGTTGATTGGTTGAGAACGGTTTTTGCAAACGGTAAGGTCTTTTGGCAAGTCTCGATCGAGGTTTGACGCAGTTACTGCTGAATCGCCTGGCACGCATCTTCCCCGATCAGGTCATGCACCGTGCTTTCTCCCCTTCCCGATCCAAGATGGAGCTTTGCCTCAAACTTGAAATTGTTTAAATGCGCAGGCGGCCCACCCCGGGGATCACCTCCAGCCCCTTGGCCTGCTCCCGCGCAAGGCGCTACTGCACCCGGTGAAGCGCATCCCGGCCAGCGAGAGCAGCCAGGGCAGCGAGTCAGAGGAGGACCGCGCGTCGCCCAACGCCGTTTTGCCACACCCGGCGCGGCCGCGAAAGGCCCTTCCGAAGCGCCACAGTTTCGCCGGGGGTCACAAGGGCACCAAGCGGCACGCCGACGACGGCGAGGGGATCCCCGCGGACCCGCATCGGGTGCCAAAGTCGGAGCCGGCGTCGGACGGGTCGAGCCAGGGCACCGGGAAAGCGCGCCGGCATGGGGAGGAGGGGAACGGGGCGCAGGCGCGGGGGGAGAACCAGGAAACGGGGCTGACGAAGCAAGGGTCGCAGGATCTGACGAGCGTGGGGGGTGCGCTGGAGGCGGCAGTGCGCGACGGGGTGTTCCAAATGGAGGTCGATATGTCGCGGCCCAATGGGGGCGCTGCGCTGGACGCGCTGGGAGACGTCGCGTGGCAAGACTGGCAGCAGCAGCAAAAAGTTTCTGCAGCGGGGGGGTATCCTTGGGATGTGCCTGCCGGCCCCCCAAGCTGGCCCGTGGCTCCGGAAACGACGGCGCCGTTTCCGTGGGACCCGCGGGAAGAGCCGTGGCAGGGGTTGCCTCGTCAGGAGTCCGCCGGAAATTTAGCGCCGCCGCCCCCGCTTCTTCTTCCCGCCGACCCGGGGGCGGCGACCGGCATGGAGTTGTGGGATGCCAACAACTGGGGAGGGGCGCCCCCCCTCGAGGGTGCGAGCGAGGCCGCGTTGTGGCTCAAGGGAGAGGACGAGCGCGCGCCGGCGGCGCAGATGGTCCCGGTTACCAGCGCAGACGTGGCGCCAAATGCGGTGCTGTTGAACACGCCGTCGGGCGACTGGACCGCCAGCTGGAGCGGCGGCACGCCCGCGGCCGCTCTAGATCTCTCGCGCGCGTGGCCCGACGCCGCGCGCACCTCTTGGCCGCCCGCCGGCGCCCCCCCCAGCGTTTGGGTCCCCACGCAACCACCCCCGGCCCACGAAATGCCAATCGTTCACGAGCCCGGGCCCGCGACCGGAGCGCCCTCGGGGAAGCCCCCCCGGCCGCCGTCGCTGCCGCGGCTGCGGCCGCTCAAGAACTTACGGGCGCTCGCGGTGCCGGACGGGGCCGCGCATTCGGGGGTCGGGGTGGGGTCCCCGTTTCTCGTGCCGGAGTCGCCGACGGTCGTCCAGGTATTGCGGGAGATGCACACAGACGCGGGCAGCCGGCCGGGCTCGGCGGCGCCCATTCCGGAGGAGGCCGAGCGGAATGAGTTTGAGGAGCGGAAGGATGAGGAAGGGGCGCAGATGGAGGAGGCGGGGCCGGACGAGCGGGCCGGGGGGCACGCCAGGAGCGCAGGCCAGCAGCTGCCGTGGTTCGAGATCCAGGATTGCAGCCCGGAGTGGGACTACTCCGTCGGAGGTGCGAAGGTACGTGGTCGACATTTTTTGTTGCTTCTACTCAGATAATGCACTGTTCGCAGGTTCCAGGCGTCTAGTCAAACGGTGACTAGCTCAGGTCCTGGAGGCTTGTTCCATGGACCGGCTCAGACTCTTGAGGCGTGTTCCTTGGTTGGCTCAGATCCTGGATGTGGATGTGGAGTGCCGGTGTTGTTCTGTCACTCTACTATGTGGCTGGACACGCTGCTGCTGTCGTTGTTTCCGCCTTCACACTTCCCAATCCCTTCGACCCATCTGCTCCCGTACCTCCGCACTGTTTCTCCTACCGCTCACTCCGCGCCTTTCTCTTTTGCCAGGTACTGCTTGTTGGCACGTGGCACCTCCCCGACGACTCTCCGCCCGGCGCGAGCGACGACTTCCGCGCGTCCGTCACGTTCGGCGGCGCCGAGGTTCCCGCGGAACCGGTTGGGCCTTGCTTGCGATGCACCGCGCCCGCGCACATGCCGGGTCGCGTTCCGCTGTGCGTAACCTTTGGCGAGAACCAGCCCGCGAGCGCTTCGCGCGAGTTCGAGTACCGCCCAAGTCCGGTTGCGTACGTCACGCGCCGCAGCGCCGCTGGGGGGGGCGCGCTTGCGGTCGAGGACGCGGTGGACGAGGACGACGATGCGGCGCTACAGGTGCGGCGTGTGGGCATATTTGCTTTGACTCTGTAAAGGATAAGTCCAGTCAACGACAAGCTCTCGACCTAACGAAACTACCCAGTTCGGACATCTACGCAACCCGCACTCGCACCCACCCTAAGCCCCTGACTGGCTCCATCCCTCCCAGGACTGTCCTTTTGTTGTTCTGTAGGTTAGCTTTCACTGCATTCGTCGAAATTGAGAGAGCAACTCCCGTTGCTCAGCTGGTACGGCTCTCAAAATGATGATTTGCCTTCAGAACAATGCCTCCAGTGATTTCGAAACTGGGCTTAGCTCACCTCGTTGTTTCTCCCGTGCTCTTCTGAAGTTGAAGAGGGGACGGACCACCGACTGGCGCCCCGTATGACGCTCCTGTGTCTGCTACCGACGAGCCCGCTGTGCCAACAGAATCTAATTTGTTCTGTCGTTGCAGGTGCGGCTCGCGCGATTGTTGCTCGAGGGGGGTGCCGGCGAGGGGGGGAACAGCGACGGGGAAGAGTGGGAGGAGTTGCTGCGCACCGAGCGCGTGACCGGGTGCGTGCAGGACGGTCTCCTGCAGCGGGTCCTCCGTCACGTGTTGCATTTATGGCTCGCGCGCGCAGGCCAGGGGGATCCCCTAACGTACGACGGGTACGCGCCGTTTGGCCGGGCGGGAGACGCGGCGCCAGGCGGGTTAACAGGTCTAAACGAGGTCGGTTTAAGCGCGCTGCACATGGCGGCGGCGCTCGGGTACGAGTGGGCGGTTACGGCACTTGTCGATGCAGGGTGCCCGGTGGATTTGAAGGACGCGCGGGGGCGCACCGCGCTGCACTGGGCGGCCGCGCGCGGGCGCGAGAAGGTGGTTGCGCAGCTGCTGACGCACGGCGCGGCGCCCGGGATGCTGGCCACGAAAGGCGGGTGCACGCCCGCGGACCTCGCCGCTACGTGCGGGCACGCGGGGATTGCGGCGTTCCTCGCGGAGTGCGCGCTCAACCGGAGCCTGAGCAACATGACGATCAACGAGGACATGGCGGCCGCGAGCGACGCAGCCGAGGCGGGCGCCGCCGCGGTCGCGGTCGCGACGGGCAGCCAGGGCGTGCCGCGTGGCAGCGATGCGGGGCTCGAGAACGCGCTCGAGGCGGTGCGCAACGCGGCCCGCGCGGCCGCGCTGATTCAGAGCGCGTACCGGCGACGGCGGCGGCAGCGGCAGCAGAGGGCGCAGCAGGGGCGGATTCCGGGGGAGGGCGAGCGGGACGAGGCAGCGGACGGAATGAACGGAATGGCGGGGGGGGTGGAGGAGCAGCAGAAGATGGAGACGGAGCATCAGGCGGCCACACGCATTCAGGGCGCGTTCCGCAAATTCGCAGACCGGAAAGAGTTCCTGAGCTTCCGGAACAAGGTGGTGCGACTGCAGGTGAGGGTCTGCACCCGAGCTCTGGACTTCAATCGGGCCAGTATGGGTTGACTGTAAAGGAAAGGGTTTGGGTGTGGCTTCACCCTTAACGGCCCAATATAGAGGGAGCTCACACTTCATCAGGGGCATTCGGGTGCAGTCGATTTACATGCTTTGTTTCCATGAGAACCTAACCAAGGCACTCGCTTACAAGGCTATCGCGGTTGATAGCAAGTGCTCATACCTAAACCCCTTTCTTCTTTCTTTTCCGAGAGGTTTTTGGGAACTGAACCGCCTGCCTTGATTAGAAGCTCGAGGGCTCGAGAGTATGCTTTGCTAAAGAACTGCGACGCGAGCACAACATCTCACCACGTATTGCTCGTATAAAACGCATATTGTTCTTTGGGCACTCATGACCAGGAGTCCGTATTTTGTAAGAGGAAGCTGTCCGTATTAATTCAGGGGCGTACGTGTCATGAACGTGTCACCCTGTTTATGTTGCAGGCTGCCGTGCGCGGCTACCTCCAACGACAAAAGTACCGTCGCATGCTGATTGGTGGCGCGTACGGGTGGCGCCTGCGGAGCGCGGACAAGCGGCCGCGCTCCGCAAGGTACCACGTGGACGAGACTGAGCTGCCACCGCTGCCGAGCCCGCTCGGAGAAGCTGCTGGGGAGGAGTGGCGTAACGTTGGGGGGACCGATTCAAATTATGCGCTTGACCGCGCAGTCACAAGGGTTCAAGCGATGGTCCGGTCGCGCCAAGCTCGAGCGCAGTACTTGCGACTGCGCCAGGCGTCGCAGTCAATGCAGGTGGAGCATTGGCAGCATCAGCATGGCGTCATGCAAGAGCCGCACGTGCGGTTCGCCGAGGCCTCGGACGTGTTTGACCCGAGCGTTTATCTCGTATGAATTATATTGCATAGTACATATACTGGTGCCTCTCAGGTCTGCAATTTTATATGATAAGATATATTGTGGCATTTTTGTCGAGGCAATAAGGTGTTGAGGTCCTTTAGAAAGGTCAGCGTCCGCATGGACAGTGGTTGTGCTAGACACACCACCATAGCATGCCTGACGACAGTGGCAAGTGTTTCTGCTTTTAAGTTGGACAATGATTCAGATCTTCTCATGCAACTAAGATATATCAAGTCTGAAAACATACATGCATAGTTTGCGATGATCGATGCATGCAAAACTATTGTGATCGAGGCAGGCACCTGCAATTAACACCGGGGTAAACCGCGAATCATGCAACTGTTGCTCGAAATTAGATGGTTCAACATGAAGATCTATAGCTGGCCGAGAATCCGGATGCAGCGCGGTGCTAGCGGCATACCTAGGGGCATTTTTCCGGCCCGCAAAATCGAATATATACATGCATGCATGCATGCCGCATGGCCGGATGCAGATCAACCTGGCTACGAATGATGCCGGCATACTTATTTGATGCTGCACGATATATAGGTACCCGTACTATGCTCTGTAAGAGCATCAAACCTTTACAGAGCAGGTCTTCAAGTTAGCTAGGACTCAGCAAGGTCTACAACATGATAAACAGATCCACGATGACAATGACAAATACTTCTCCAGAAGGAAGGACGCTAAAACGGGAACTGAAAACCATGCAGCCTAATCTGCTTGCCAGCTGAGACGTGCTAACATTGCACCAAGCAGTGTATCCGACTTTACATTCAGTAGATGCCTGGAAAACCTTACCTTACTAAGAATATGTTTCCAGTTGACGTTGATTTGGAAAGGCATGCGTTTCGTTCCACGTTCATCATTATATACAAAACCGCTTATTAGAGACTCAACCTCGCTTGTTGGTTGACAAGACAGACCCTCCGAACTCATAATTGCTGAGTCGTGACAAACGGCTGTGCCCGGCTCACGGGCAGCGCATATGTCCCATTTGCCGCGATGGCCAAGTCTTCCGAGGCATGGGAATCCCCGTTCGTTTCAAGAGCGGGCTCCACAGTAAGCATCCCATCCATAGGCGCCGGCCCCTGACCCTGTGAATCCAGGATGTGACGCACCCGCTCGATGATCTTCTCCTTCGTGCCTGACGTTTTCTGCCCTTGCGAGAGGAGAAAGTTGCGGATGACCGCCGTGGGTAAAGTGTCCAGGCTGCCGCTGTGGTGCTTCTCCTGGACCTGCAAGCATCACAACGCCCAACCTGCTGACGCGTCTAGAGAGACGGCACGTATCGTTCCATTTAGTATATTACACGATCTTTGTACTAAAGGGTGCGGAGGCGTTCTATAGGACTGTGCCCTTTCACGTATGCGCAGTGTGTTTCGTCTGTACATTGATGAGCCTGTTCAAGGAGGAGCCCGGAACTCATACGCTCGAGAGTACCGCCCTGACTACTCAGAAACGATAAGCAAGCAGGCGGGATGAACCTTTAGCTTTCCAGAAATCACGAGGTGGCCCCTCCAGTAAGATGAAGTCGAAAGGGAGACGGTATGCAGCACTTCAGAGAAGGTTTCTCTCTCCAAAGCAGTGATTGTGTTACATTCCAAAGCAGCAGCCCCACCGTTTGTGCGGCCTGCGCAATCCTCTCCGCAGGGCTGAGGTGCTCCCGCTCCAAAATGACTAGTGACAGGATGGGAAGAAATTACAAAGGCCCGTACTCCGCAAAGAGGCCCGTCCCTCTAACATGAGAGTGACAAGGAAGAAGATCTATTAGACTTTAACGACAGTTACACCTTCGAAAGCACGAAATGTCTGAAGTATCTGAGGTGGCAGCCCTACCGTCTGTGCGTCCTGCGCGATCCTCTCCGCAGGGCTGAGGTGCTCCCGCTCCATCCGCTGCAAGCGCTTCTTGGTCAGCTTCGGGGGCTCCACTCTCTGCACGCATCGAGAGGCTGCACTTTCAGACGGGAACTCGAGCGGGATCCTTTAGAAAAGCGAGCTGACAAGCGCTTCTTAGTCAGCTTCGGGGGCTCCACTCTCTGCACACGCCAAGAGGCTTTTCAGACGGGAACTAGAGCGGGATGCTTCAGAAAAGCGAACTGACAAGCGCTTCTTGGTCAGCTTCGGAGGCTCCACTCTCTGCACACAACGAGAGGCTGCACTTTCAGACGGGGACTAAATGCTTCAGAGAAGCGAGCTGACTAGCGGAGCCTGCGGTTCCTTCGTAAGCGTCCGCGCCGATCAACATTGCTAAACAGGTGAACACTCCGGCATGGCAGGTTATGCTTGGGTTACTGAGTACGTTTGGAACTGTCACAGGGTGTTCAGAGGGTTAAGCGGTTAACCATTAATCAAGTAACACAGGACGACCACCTTTCAGTTGATGCAGACCCCGACCTTTGTAGAAGCAGGTCGCAACCAAATGTTATCCTATTGAAAGCAAAACATCTTTGTGCCAAATCAGAGGCTCCCTTACAGTGTCAAGGAAATGTGTACCGGCTTCCAGGGACGATGTAACGCTATCTGCTCTTGGTCTGCTCATCTTCTTCAACAGCTTTGAAGATCTTGGAACTGTATTTGCGTATCATACAGCAGTTGCCCCAGAAGCTCTGCCCCGGTACAGAAGCCAATATACAAGCTTGTCAAAACGGACTGTTCAACATCAATTGCGCAAGTTGAAGCTCTTCCCCCATCTGACGACCTCCCATAAAGAGAAGCAAACAGGCATGAATCATCTTGACCACTGGTCCTAAAAGACCATTAGAACGAGGCCTATCAAATCAGGCGACCCGGATTCCTTTTAAGAATGTCGAACGTTCGTTCATGGGATGAGAGAAGTGTGAATACGCTCTCTAGTCGGACACTCGATGCCAAGATTCTTGTTGGCGGTTTCCATCGGGAGATCTGATTACCAAAAAGGGTGCTCTCAGTAAACTGGGATCCTGAACAGAGGAGATGTGGATACGCACTCTTGTTGGAATGTTGATGCCGCACTCCTTCTTGGCCGTTTCCATACGGGGATCCCCCAACAAATGCCGCAGCAGGGGCGCCTCCAATTTCGGGTCTCCTCGGCACGCGTTCTTGAATTGGGTGATGACATCATCTGGACTCGAAGAAAAGTGGCATGATGAGACAAAGGACGCTGAATGTAGTGTTGTCCAGCAATTGGTTGTGATGATCGCTCCAGATAGGGGCAGATGGCGCGAAACTAGCGGCAATAAAGGTGGGCTTTTTGCTCATAATTGCGGGCAGCGAATCAATTCTCCTTTGGGAGGATTTTCTGCCAAGAGCAGCTGTTGGAGTAAATTGTCTGGATACGAATAAGCGAGAGATGCGGTAAGATACGCCTTAATAGCAGAGGTGCAGATACTGTAGGCCTATATTTTTGGGGGCAGGCTTGTCAACATGAGCAGATACAAACCCACCCATTGTCTCAAAGTGTGCCAAAGTGGATTATGAATTAAGTCAGACCAAGGGCCAGGGCATTCTGCCTACCTAAAAAGGAGTCTTCAGCGGTGACCCAACAGCCTGTTCTGAAGACAGAAAGTATAGCCTGACGCATGCATCATATAAATCTCTTTTGCTTTCTCCCAACGCACAGCAAGGAACATGGTAAATTGGGCATGGTGTATGCATTTGAATTTGTCCAATCTCAACACATTACCGTTCTGACTGACCGAAAATAGTTACACAGAAGCAGACTGCGCCAACACTGGGGCAGCTCAATTTAGAACTTGACCTTCTGACAAGTCTGAGAGAGTCGGACTATCCTTGATGGGTTAGCAGGTAAAGTCATGATGCTTCCAAGAAGCTACATCAGAGCACAGAATGTGATCGGCCTGATGGTTGTTTTCAACTTGTGAAAGTGAAAGACAGAGAATCTGGAAGACCCAAAAGCGACTGGAATACAAAGAAGCGTACCGGCAGACTTCTCGAGACGCTTGCGCGTGCCCTCCCCAGGCCGAAAGTCCTTTCGCACTCTGGTCGTCTTTTTCACGGAAGGTTGTGCCAATGGCTCTTCACCAAGGTTCAAGCCTGCAGCTCTTATGAAGGAATCTTCTCCTGCAGCTCTTATGAAGGCATCTTCGTCTGCCATCCCTCAATACAGAGACTACTCGGCAAGAAACATTGAGTATCCTTGGGGACTAGCAATCTGGTAATTGAGAATGTGGCTAAGAGGTTTGAACTGTCTTGCTCCTTGGTGCTTTTGTACCTGATTGCTTACAGCAGTTTGACTGCCAAAGTGCTACCAAAAACAGACCTTGACCAGAGCTGCGTCACCGAAGCCCCTGCGTAGCAGATTGCAAAATGTTTTCCATGGTCATGTCAAGCGGTCTCCATAGTTTCTTCCAATGATTTCAAACCGGCCACCAGAATGCGCGCTTTGTTCCTCTGCTTTGCCCGTCTCAAAATGCACAGTGAACAACAGGAGAGCAAGAGTAACTCCCCTAACCTGCCTGTAGAGCAACGTTCTAGATCTAGGCAGGCGGCTGGTAGCCAAGGGAACGACTGTCCTTTCCAGAATGCTGAGACGCCAGAGGGAGACAGTGACTCAAATAATCCTTTTTCTGAGAGAATCCTTTTGGTGCCCTCGTCAAATACCTGGAGACCTTTGACACCACCTCCCACCGGGGCCGTTCTTACCAAGCCAACCAGGGGATCTCTGGGACAAGATTTCTGATTGACAAGTTGGACCTCAGCTGCCTCGGTTGATCAAGTTTCTCTCGGGACTTGCAAATTCGCCCCTGCTATTGGAGTAAAGTGTCAAGCAGAAACCAAGCATAATTAAAAGAGCATGACACGAGTCAGCAGCTGTCAGCAGCAGAGCCAGAAATCAAATTGAAGAGGAGGAAGAAAGGCAGGTCAGAGGGGCGTCAGGCAAGGTGCTCGTCTTCCAAGCGGTGCTGTTGGCTGCATCCATCGACACCCATGATCTTGAGTGTCGGTCAACTTTTTGCGTCTTTTTTTGGGGAAAGGCAGCGGTACGAGTAACCTTCAAGAGGTGAGATTGCCTTGGTTGCCGCTGCCGGTTGAAACGACCAGCGTATTGCAAGATTACTTCGATCTTTTGCTTTAAGGCTCTGTTTGAGAGGCTGTATGTGGAGGTCAATGAAACAGCACAGGATCTACTAAGCTCACTGGCATCGCAAAGGGACAGCTGTTGATGCATCATTACCAATTCGATTCGAGCCCGGGCTACATTTTTGCCACAAGCTTGTAAGTATGTAGGTGATTCCACTGCCCTTTTTTAGGCTTATCTTGAAAGTACGGATTTCGCTAATCAACATATGTAGAGCGCTGTTGAGTTCCACCACTTCTAGCCCCGGTAAAACTCAGGTCGAGTAGATGATTGTTGTAGTTGAATGCATCAGCCCCCTGCGCTAGGCCAACTAGTGCACTTTGGAGTTTTTTTATCCACACGGCAATCAATATGCATATGCTAGATGCCTCGGAAAGCTCCCGACCATTGAGTATTTAAGTCCTATTATCCTTGTCAGAATCTGAGCCTCCCACTCCAAAAAGCTCCTTGCATCCACCTAGCGCATGGGCGAGTCACATCTGAACGATCTCCATCAATCTGCACTCTGATTTGTGTCACGACGTCATTGCATTTGAGTCTTCAATCTAAAGGTCAGGCTCAAAGTAGACGCCTTGCGGTCACTTTCACACAGAGTTATCCATTTTGATCTTCAGAAGCTTCGACAAGATACGAAATCTAACTTTAGCGCACAATTTTGAGTGTCAACTAAGAATCTACCCTCCAGAAAAGGGAAAGCGCAGACTTATAGATGCCGGTGGGCGACACACATGGACGTTGCTGACATTCAAGGCGCCACTTACTGCAATATTCAAGTTGTAACGGTTTGCAAACGGTCTAGCAAGTCATTGCTGTTTGCCGCACCGCAAGTAGCTTGTTCGGTTGCACCAACGACACCCCAATGGAGTGACATCTGAAAGCTGAAAGCCTTTTAGATATTGCACTTTGTCTCATGCAGCAAGCCACCACTTATCGCACCAAAGGACAACTTCCTGCGTGTAAAACTGCTCCATTGGTTGTTTCAAGACCACAATGATTATTTCCAATCTTGGTATCCGCACCGTGCTTAAAGCAAACATCTTCTTTTCAACTTCCCTCGTGCAGTGTAGCAGACGGCCGTTGACTACTTCCAATCAACAGCCGCGAGCCTTGTATTGGCTCACGACGTTTTCCCAGAGCCGTCGACTCTCCCGCCCCTCTCCCCCCTCCCCCCCAAATTATAACCGATGGACCTCCTTCGGCAGTACAGCGAGGAAGACGATGAGCCGCGGTCTGCTCACAACGGGGGATTGACCGAGGAGCCCCCGTCCACATCAGGCCGGATGCTAGACGACGATCGAGAGGCATCCCCCGAAATCCTCTCGCTTCCGTCTAAGTCCTCCGCTCCTGTAGTTAGTAGTGCCATCATTGTCAAGCACCAGACCGAAAGCGCTGACCCGGGGTTACGGGTCGTCGACCCCTCCAAAAAGCTGGTTAGCTATAACCCCACGGTTGACCAGCTCTACGCCCCGGTGGTCGGCCCCGCACATCCCTACGCGAAAGATGGGTTGGCGAACGGCGCACGGAACCATAAGCAGGGGGTGGTCGAGGACGCGTTCATCGCGCCGTTCAATTTCGACGAGCAGTACAACACGTACCAGACGTTTGGATATGCAGCGGACCCGTCGGCTGCGAACGGGGCGCTCGTAGGAGATGAGACGGCGATGAAAAGCTATGACGGGGCCACCGTGTATAACATCCCGGCAAGGGAGCAGAAGAGGCGGAAGCTCGAAGCTGCGGCGCAGAAGGAGGGAGAGGAACAGGACGAAGAGGCGGGGAACGTTGCGTCCGAGAATTGGTTGAAAGCAAAGAGCCCCTGGGCGGGGAAGAAGGAGTATGTGCAGCCGGAACTTACGGTGAGGAGCCTAAGAGCCGTTCAAATGCTCGTGGCAATCGTGCGAACAACTGATTGGCCCCGTTCCGTGCAAGATGCTACAATCACTGAACGAGCAGAAAGCTTATCTTGAAGCTCTGTATGTTAAGGTCCTGGCGAGCTCCTTTCAATAATTGCCTCCTTCACTCAATTTGGACAGTGGGATCCCAGAGCTTATTTAGTTGACGTCACCTCTGGGTCCATGGTCTGCTTTTTCTTGATGGAAAAATGGTTTTCTCGTGCAAAAGCGGATCCCATACGACTCTGCAAACGTGACAAAAAGCATTGGTGTCTTCATGAATTCAATCGAGTCCCCTGAACTGCTGACAAACCCTCGGGCTTCTCGCTTCTCAAAGCCAAATTCAGCAGGCTTCGAATCCGTTGTCAGTAGATTCTTCACCACAAATCGTCGTTCTAGAGAGCTTTTGGCGCCCTCTTCACTGCTTTTGTTTGAGTTTTGAAGTTTGATGTATAAGGTTTGGTTCAGGAATTGCAAAGAACCACCCCCCCCACCGTTCCTTTCTGGAGGACCCAGGAGAGCCGCACTTTGCTTTCTATATTGCACTTTCATGAGGATTCTGCCCCTTCCTGTCCGCTACTGGGTCTCAAAACGAAGAGATTTCTTCTCTTCACTGACCTTCAGAACCGAACTGACTTCCTACACTTCTTTTGAAGTCTTTTGGACATCCTCCGTTCACCTCCTTCAGGAAGATCAGAAAGACATCTGCTCTAGCATCTCGCTCAGTGACTCCAAACCCCACTCTGAACCCCCCCTGAAACCCGCTCGTCTTCCTTACCCCCCAGGAGGAGCAAAAGAAGTATGCGGAGGAGCACGCCGCGAAGCAGAAGGGCAAGGAGAAGGGCGACAAGCCGGTCACGGAGGACAAGAGCGTGTTCCACGGGAAGGAGGAGCGGGACTATCAGGGCCGGTCCTGGATCGAGCCGCCGAAAGACATCAAGGCGCAGAACGAGCATTGCTACATCCCGAAGCGCTGGGTGCACACGTGGTCCGGGCACACGAAGGGCGTGGCGGCGATACGCTTCTTCCCAAAGAGCGGGCACTTGCTGCTGTCGGCCAGCATGGATACCAAGATCAAGGTGAGAATCACTTGTTTCACTGACTGATTTAATGAATTATGAGTTTCAGATTGTGTAAGTCGAGAATGATCTGGGCCGGAGGGTTCAGGGTTTGAATCACTTGATGATTTTGGCCTGCATGGAACACGACATTGGCGTTCGAGGAGGGGGGTTTGTGTTCTGATCCCTTGCAGCTCAATCTTGTGCATGTTGTGGGGGGCTAGGGCATTTGCGGCTGAAGCAGAGGTTTCGAATTACGTTTCTTCAGAATTCTTGCCAGATTGGTTCTATGTTCGGAGGTCCTGATGCCGTGTCCTCGATTCAAAGGCCTTTACCAGATGCCCTTTTCACATCTACCCTTCTTAGTCGCTGTCGTTGACTCGTACCTATGGAGGCATTTGAGAAAAGACTTGAAGAAGAGACCAAGATGCGGAGGTACTCCACGGTCGATTTGTAGATATTCAATTTGTGAGATGCCCTCTTTGCTAAGGTTAGGATGCAGGCAATAAACGGTTAACTGACGACATTAATTTGTTCCGTACAGATTTGGGACGTGCACGGCAGTGGCAAGTGCATGCAGACGTACATGGGCCACTCCAAGGCTGTGCGTGACGTCACCTTCAACAACACGGGCACGCGCTTCTTGAGCGCCAGGTAAGCAGACTGCTGAGCTCGCTCACGATGATACCAAAGAAAAGATGGACAGGCGTCCTCGAACCGAAGAGTCGGAAAGAGGACTGTTTCTCATCTGGTCCCGTATCTCGTCTCATCGTTGTCTCGTATCAGCCTCGTACCTCCCAACGCAAGTGTCCACCTCAGCTGCGTTCTGTCAAGTCTGCCCGTGCGTTTTGCAGCTTCCATTCAAGGTTGCATTTCCTTCGATCCAACTACATGCTCCTCGTCACACCTTAGAACAAGCTGTGAGCAGGGCAGTCGACTGTTTCATCACTTCAAACCTCTGGCACCTCTTTTGGTGCTCACAGCATCCCAGCTTTGACCGCAGACCAAGCTCTGACAACCGAAAGTGATATTGTGCAGTGCAACTGGATCTCGTCATGACTCACCCCGAAGCTGCTCCGCCGCTCTAAAAGTTCCGCCGCTTGTAAAGCTCTGCGCCCATCGCAATCCCCATTCGCTTTGCAGCTTCGAGCGGTGTGTCCTGGACATAGGCTGCGCCGTGCTCTGTTCCATGTTATGTGAACCCCTGCCTTCCCACCACCTCGTTTCAGTCTCTCACATCACACCCCCGATCGCTTTTGCAGTTATGACCGCAACATCAAGCTGTGGGATACGGAGACAGGCGCGGTGCTCAAGACCTTCTCCACGGGCAAGGTGCCGTACGTCGTCAAGTTCCATCCCGACGAGGACAAGCAAAACGTGATCCTCGCGGGGATGTCGGACAAGAAGATTGTCCAGTGGGACACGGAAACTGGCGAGATTACCCAGGTTAGTGCTTAAATTCTGTTACGACACCCAGATTCTGTTCTATAAAAGCGGTCAAGGTAGTCTGCGAGATTTGTGCAGGCCCAGATACGCAAACCTCTGGCGCGACGTTTTCTGGAGGGTGGCCATGGCCAAGGCGATAGGCCTGCAGAATTTGGGGTTTGGACTGGTGCCTAGACTCGCGTCTTCGAGGATTTTCCTCCGTGCGAAGCTGGAGGTGTCGACGTCGAATCCCAATTTCTGGAGACAGACACCGAGGATTGGACTGCAATCAACCAGGATAAATATAGCATCTCAAAGGAACTGATTTGTGTCAGTTCCTTCGTCACAAGCTCGGCCCCTCTGACACTCTATTGCGATGATGACGCAGGAGTACGATGAGCACTTGGGCGCGGTGAACACGATCACGTTCGTGGACGACAACAAGCGCTTCGTGACCAGCAGCGACGACAAGTCGCTGCGCGTGTGGGACTGGAACATCCCCGTCGTCATCAAGTACATCAGCGAGCCTACCATGCACTCTATGCCCGCGATCTCGATGCACCCCGACGGTGAGGGGCCCATTCCTTCCGGTTCTCTTCCGGTTCCGTTCCGGTTCCGTTTGTCTTTATTTGGTTGCAATTTGTGCGGAGCGTTTTACCGGTTTCAGATAGTGTCCTTTGTCGGGCCTATTTTCCTTTTTCTCTTGCTCATGATGCGATCCATGCCGGCCATTTCGATGCACCCCGACGGTGAGGGGCGCATTCCTTTCGGTCCTATTCCGGTTCCGGTTCCGGTTCCGCTTGTCTTTTTGTCATCAAGTACATCAGCAAGCCCACGATGCACTCCATTCCTGCGATCTCGATGCACCTCGACGGTGAGGAACTCATTCCTTCCGGTCCTGTTCCGGTTCCGTTTGTCTTTTTTCAATAAGTACATTAGCGAGCCCACGATGCACCCAATGCCCGCAACCTCGTTGCACCCCGACGGTGAGGGGCGCACTCCTTTCAGTCCTGATCAGCTCCTGTGCCATTTCCGGTCCTGTTCCGGTTATGTCTCTCGTTCTGTCATCAGGTTAATCAGCTCATGATGGCATGCCGGCTATTCCAATGAATCCTGACCGTGAGACATTCAAAGCATACAAAATGGTCCATGTTTTGCTTCTCCTTCTCTTTTTCTCTCTTCTTAGAAGCGCCTTCTCGTACCCCTCTTTACATACGGCTCCCCATCGGAAGGAAAGTTTCTCTCTTGACTCGGTCTTCGGTTTGGACTATTGCCTTCGCTTTGCTTTGGATTCCTGCGTTCGTGGTAGGCAGCTTCTCGCTGGTCCGTATTCTTTGCACTTCTTTTCTTCACCCTCCAACGTCGAAAGCGTCAGTCTGTCTCGTACAGCAGCAGGCAGCTGACTGTGTTTGCCTCTTTACCTGTCTGCAGGCAAGTACTTTGCCGCGCAGTCCCTGGACAACCAGATTCTGATCTACGGTGCGCGGGACCGCTTCCGGCTCAACCGCAAGAAGGTCTTCAAGGGCCACCTCAACGCGGGCTACGCATGTCAGGTCAACTTCTCGCCAGATGGAAGGTAAGTTCCGCCTTTATTGTGATCTGTGGCCCACTTGTTTTTTTCCACACATCAAAGGGAAGCAGGTCTGCGGCGAGCCTTAAAGCCTTCCCAAAGTTTGCACCTTTTGCCCTGCAGGCACTCCCTTTTGCAGCCCGTATGGACAAAGGATAATCTGCCCACTTGTATAATCATTTACAGCAGTCGCCCCGCCTCTCTCGTGTTTCTGCTTGTTCCAGTCTTGACGTGCATGGAACCGTCATTTTGAGCGACGCACTTCGTGCCTGTCATCCAAGAAAAACCAATCAGCTTCTTCTAGATGCGGCTTCCAGATTTTGCACGTGCAGGGTTCAATCGGCTCCATCAGGCGATGAGGAGGGGCCGGTCTGCTCCCGGAATCCATGAAAGATACTCCTGAGAGATTCTTACGCTGAAACCTTCATCGCGCGTTCGTTACTGTCGGCTCAAGCAACAAGTTCGGACACGCAGGTTCTTAATGTCGGGGGGCGCAGAGGGGCGGCCCTAGAGGATACCTCCAGAAGAATCTTTTATGCCGAAACTTTCATCGCGCATGCGTGACTGTCGGCTTACTCTAAGATTACCGACACGCAGGTTCGTCATGTCGGGCGATGCGGAGGGGCGGCTGTTCTTCTGGGACTGGAAGACGTGCAAGATCTTCCGCACGTTCAAGGCGCACGACCAGGTGACCATCGGCTGCGAGTGGCACCCCCTCGAGACCAGCAAGGTCGCCACCTGCTCCTGGGACGGCACCATCAAGTACTGGTGAGCTGCTGACGTCACGTTCACGTCATGTTTGTTGTCTTGATGACGCCACTTTCTCGTTTGGGGCTGTGAATTTCCGAGACCACCGAAGTCGCCTTCCGCTCCTGGGACGGCACCATCAAGTACTTGTCAGCTGCTGACGTCTTGTACAGTGCATGCGCGTCGCCTTGATGACGTCATTCTTTGTTGGGACTTTTGATTGACTGGGCGCTTGCACCCCCTCGAGACTAGCAGGATCGCCTCCATGTGATGGTGCTAGTTAAGCAGTAGCTAGTTCCTGTTGTCGTCCCCGTTACGGTGCTCGGATGGCGTCAGCATTGATGCATTTGAGCACCCCCCCGGGATAATAATAAGAACGACTTATGAGCCACTCGCAGTTGGTGAGGGCAATTGCTGCTTATGGAGTGTAGCGTCTGAGCTTGACGACTTTCAGTTGGATGCCATCGGGAAACAGCAATTGCCAGCTAGCCTGGTTGATGCGGACGACATTCAGTAATCAGAGGATTGTTGCGCTAAAACAAGCCTTCTACTGGTGCAGGGACTAAATTGGGAGAAGGTTCAAGCAAAGCTTACCCCCTCGACCTTTCATATCCTAGAACGAAAAGGCCCGATTAGCAGAGGCTGGCTGCTACCTTGTGTTGAGGCAATAAAAAGAGTAGGTTTGTTTCCATGTGAGATCGTATGTCAGCCCAAGACTTGGCGGACTCGACGTTTGGCATTTTTGATCTTGCATGAGTCTGTTGCAGAAGGTTCGAGATCGTCTGCAGCCTTTTGTACCAGAATCCAGCGTTTGGGAAACGTGGGTCGTTGAATTTTTCTTCACTTCAGGCTACATCTTCAACTGGATGTTTGCTCATCTTCTGACAATGATCAAACCCACACTGGCACGCTTACAATGTTCACTAATCATGCATGACGGGGCAGATTCGTGTACATTGCAGAATTTGCGCCTTGCTTGTCGGCGACCTTGAAGTCGGAACACAGTGCATTCAACGACGCGGCCTGATGGGACAGCGCGGTTTCAAATCGGACCGATTGATCATCCAGCGCATGCAGGAAAGCGGTGGGCTTAAAAACTTAGCACCGGCGGTTACAATGACCCAGCGTCAGTCCTGGCAACTCTATGATCGGACTGCATTCATGAAGGTGAATGAATGTTTCAAGTTTCGAGTCAAGCCAAGCTGCACGTTCAGCAGTGCGCTGTGCCAGATATACATGATCGGATCGTGATCAATTCGTAGATTGCACTCTCGCAATTGAATAATCATGCATTATTATATACATATGTCTCTCCATGATCATTAGTATACGCCCATGGGCCTATATAGTGACTCCGTCACTCATATGCACTACAGTATAACTTAGGACTCACAGGAACTAAGTTCAATGCGTGCATGTTTGCGGCCTGCTTGCCCCGGCCGGCCAATATATATACACAGGCTTCTCTACATCCAGCGCTGTGCCCTCGCGGTGGCAGATGCCGGCCGCCCCGGCCCCAACTTGACAGCATACGCGCCTGCTCCAAGCAGCGGGCCAAAGGACGCACCATGTTCTAGGTACCAAATCCTTAGCTTTCTCAGATTCGTTGATAACCAGGCCAATGGTTCAAGGCCATGGACGACTAGCATGTCTTCATGCACGTTGCACGTCAGCATGCATGCAAATACGATTGAAGTATTGCAGACACTTGCAAGCTCGACCAGCAACGCGGAAGGATGCTTAGCTGTGCAGACATTCTACATGAAGTGCTCTTTTTACACCGGCCCCCGTTCTTCTTTTCGCTCTGTTTCTTCGCTCACGATACTACAGACTTCTTACACTCGGCCTTGTGTGTCTTCCAGTCGACTTTCTGCAAGAATACGATTTTTTTGATTCAGTGTCTTGGGAAAGCAAACCTTGCGACCGAGTGAAGCGAACACTTATCCGTATTGGCGGTGTAGGTGCTGGCAAACAGCTTGACAGCCGGCCCTTTGTTATACCATGTCCGGTGGCAGATGCCTTAAAAGTTGATTCAAGAATCTGGAAAAACTTCAGATTTGAAGGAAGATATATGTGTGCGTTGAACTCCAAAGAAGGTTGCTTTATGCGACCAATATAAAGGCGTAACTTGCCATCCGACCATTTGAATGCACAAGCACGTAAAGCGTCCCGAGATGAGGTGAACGAGCCTTCTTGAAAGTAGCCGCCACAATGATTTGCAAAGACCTTTTCGCAAAAGAGGGTGATAACTTACTTGACATTCTCGAGAACAATATTGAGCTCCATGGCACGCACTGCACAAGTTAAAAGTCTTTTGGCGGATCTCGACGACCTCCCCCGTGCATGCCTGCACCAAAACACGCCAAAAAGACAACGCATCAAAGTGAGTCTCGAGGAGGACCAGAACCCCTTTCAAAAAGGCCTCGCTTTGTCACTATTTGGCAGATGAGCACATTTGGGGCCAACTCTCCATAGAGACAACCTGCAGAGGCTTTCGGCCCCACAAACTCCTTTGACTTGCTTCGTAAGATCCACTTTTCATTCACATTTGACCTAGCCACTGATGCTATCTCTTAAACATTTCCAAGCTCCTAAAGCGAGGAGTTTCCAACCAACGGCTTCAGAGTGACCTGGAACAGAATGCTTTTCTGATCCTCAAGGACGGTCCGAGCACAATCAGAGCAGAGCCAAAAACACGCCAAAGTCTGCAGAGAGAGCCACTCGACTCGAGGACTTCGCCACAACCGAGAAAGAACTACGGAACAAAGCTGCAGTATAAACGGTCAGGTGAAGGGGCTCACCAAGCGGCTGCAGGGCTTCAAATTGAACTTGGCCGCGTAAACAGTCCAGATCCTCATCCCTTCGCTGCCCAAGCCCTCGTCTGACATACCGTTGAGCGCGCCAGGCAGCGACGATGACGCACTAGAGCTTGACAGGGCCCGAGAGATCCTCAGCACATTTTGGCACGTCAGTGTTCCGCCGTCCCGAGCGGTCTCCCAAAGGAACGTTTCTCCCGCCGACTCTAGTTGCCAACACGAGTCGAGAGCCAGCCCGAAGATTCGCAGGAGCGTCCCCAGGAACGGCACGGACCGCTGCATCTCCTCCACTTTCGCCTCGTTCGACGCCGCTCCTAGTTCGGAGCAGCGCTTGAAGTCCGTTGCCAAACGCTCCGACAGAGCCGCCAGGAGCTTCGTGAACAGCTCAACCTGTACGCACGTAGCCGGGAACTCGACGCAGGCGAACAGGACCACCCCCGCCGCGTCCTGCACTCGATCGTCCCGCCCGATTGCGCTCATAACACCTTGCGAGTAGCACACCTGGTCGATCCACTTGAGGCCTTGTTCGACTAGCTTCTCCGCATCCCGCTCAGAGAGCAAGCTCGGCATACTGCCAACCGCCGGTTGCGGTCTCGTCGTTGTGCGCGAGTCCAGAAAGTCGGAGCAGACCATGTGGGGTTCGAACCAGTCCCTGGCCCCAACTAGGACGGCGAGAAAGTGCCACGCCGTGTTGATGGAAACCCCGTCGACGAGCTCTCTGGAGATGGCACCAACTAGAGCGTGCGAGTATTTTGGCCAGTCTGCCGGAGGCACCCTCCCTTTGTAGAAGCAGAACGCTAACAGCCTGCAGTACTGAAGACGGCTGAGGTTCGAGAGGGTCGTGAGGGCGAGCTCGAACGCGTCAACGATCTGCTATGTCAACTTCCTGAACTCCTTTGAGGAGAGATCTCCTTGGTCGCTTCCAGAAGCCAGAATGGAACCGAGACCCGCCAAGCACCGGACGAAGTCCAGGGGACCCCCTTGAGCTTCGTGCACGCGCCGCATCTCGGAAAGCATCGTCCCCAAAAGGGTGTCCACTATCCCCGCGCCCAACAGTAACTTGGACTCTATTATCGAGAGGCTCCACAACCGGTCTGCTAGCTCATTCACTGCTTTTGCCGGATCTGGCGCTCCTCCCAACTTGACGCTCTGCAACATGACAAGCACCGTACCCAGGTCCGCAGGCACTCCGTACCCCTCAGAGTCCCGCATCTTGAAGCGCTGCGCTTCCCGCAAGAAGTGCTCGACGTTCTGTTTGTCAGAGTCCCCGACAAGCGGCTTCAGCTTCTCAACAACCCTGATCAGCTCTTCGAACTCGTTCCCCATCAGTATGGTCGGGTTCACCCGATCAGCTGTCCCGCAGACGTTGCACAGGTTGAACAGTAATCGGTGCATCGCCTCCTGCAAGCTGGTCAGCGGGAGGCCCGGATTGGACGCAAGTCTTTCTTGCTGCAACATCGGAAAGTTCCTCAGCATCGAGTGCATGGACTTGCAGAATCGAATCAACCAGCTTAGGAGGCTTGGCGCCGCTTCGCTGCTCAATATCTTTTCTGTTTGCTCCGGTGGATTGGACGCTAAGTTTGAGAAGGCTGTCATGGTGCCGAGGGCCAGATCCGCCAGGATATCGGCCCGATCCAGCTCCGCCGGCCCCGGGGGATCCCCCGCCAACGGGAAGAAGGATGTGATCAAGGGAAGGTACCCCTGAGCGAGTGCGCTCTCTGCAAACTCCTGGGAGTTGCTGAGTAAACTCTCCAGCACGCGCGTGAGAAAGTAGCAGCCGTAGAGAAGGGGCCTCTCGGGGGCGAGGAGAGCTGGGGTGTGGGTCAGGCTCGCCTGGGCGCGCTGCTGGAGGCGAGTGCCGAACTGATGCAGCGCGGTGACTGCAGAGCTACAGGAGGCGACCTGGAAGGAAGGGGGAAGAGAATGATGATAGAACAGTCATCTAGAGACGTTGTGTAAGCCAATCATAGGAGAGTCTGCTGAGTGCGATGAAAGGACCCGACGAGAGGAAACACCATAAGAGGTCCTCTTATACATTTGTCCACAATCGATTCAACTTAAGTGATAGAGTGAACAACTTGTTGATACTTCGTCATGAAGATGCAGAATGTTCCCAAAGGGCAAAGGTTTCCAGAAAGCAAAAGCATCATCGCTTGCGAATGCTGCAGCTCCTCCGCTGTCGTCTTGATCATGGAGACACAACCATTAGTCCAGATTGTCCAGATATCCACTAGAAGACACGGTGATGTAAGGAAAGCTGCAAATGGCTGAAGCAGGGCACACATTCAAGGTAGTACACTCTCCCCACCTGTTTGGCAAAGCTTCGCGACATGCAAACGTAGCGGATGGCGCAAATCGTGGCTGGGGAGTCCTCAAGCTTGAGGCCAAGAAGGGTCTGGAAGACCCCGCATAACGCCTTTTTATCCTTGATCAGTCTACATAACTGCACAAAAAAGGGGAAATGATATCAGGGACACGTGTAGGGGAGTATGCGTTTCCCTTTCGAAAGAATCTGCAACTTCACTGGAGCGCCCTTGACCTTTTGCTTCCAGGCAGTTACTCCCGATCAGAACTGCCCCTCTTGAACTTGTGCGTTTCTACGCAAGTTGGACTGCAACGCTTTCACCAAAGCAACAGCAACCAATGCAGAACGTCAATGAGTCTGTTTCAATTGAAGAGCTGAAGCGATCACTGAGAGAGAACAAAGCCTATCACATGATGTTTCTAGAAGAACAGAGTCGCCGCACCTTCTTGTACGGCTTCGTAGGCTTCAATTGCAGCTGCTGCTCAATTGACGAGAGGGGCTTGTCGGCAACGACCTCATCGGTGACTGAAACAAACAAATCCGCAGCCTTGGCGAACTTCTTCTCTCCAACCGCTTGGAGGAAACTGTTCACGAACTTGGACTTGCCCTCCGCCTGTTTCAGAAAGCACCCTGACCGTAAGTGGTTGTTATGTTTGTCAAACTTTGCTGAGCTGCTCACTGCCCTTTCATAACCTGAATCATCACATCTAGAGGGTTGACATTGATCTATCTGAGTTCTCAGATGTATTCAAATGGCAGCAAGGGCAGTAATTTTCTAGCTGGGATGTGTAGTGAAAATTGCTTCCCAGTTGCCTGGACTGAACATCAAATGCTCCAGCTAACACATGGCCCAGTTATCAGTGTCTCATGGCTTCCTGTTGATTCCTCAATTATGCATCCTCAGCGTTGCATCTTGTAATGCAGACTCCAAATTGCAAAGCGCCTTCACGAAGTAGGGAGCAGCACTCACCATCTTGCACAGGAAGTCGCTCTCCTCGCAGGCAACCAGAAGCCAGAAACAAACACAATCTGACGCACTAAGCGTCTGATCCAAACGGAGTATTCTGTCAGCAGTGCTTCATGCGCAAGGTCCAGGGCCCACTCGCTCTATATTGAGATGACGCAGCACGCCCTGCACGCCCGAGCTCGCCTAGCCGCAGCATTTGGGGCGCTTTGCCTATCGAACAACCTTACAGCTACCGTACAACAACAACTGCAAGCTCGAGTGTTGTCCAGACAGTGTTTTAGAGACGTTGGTCAGCTCTGCAGCTCTAGACGTCAGTCTGTTTCGGCTGGCAGAAGCTGCGTGGTCCCCCTGCTCCTGTTGATGTCAGGTCAGCAAGTCGTCAGCATCAACAAATCAAGAACTGCCATGTCAGCAAAAGAGACCACTTCTGGTGACGTGGCTGGGCATGGGCATGGTCATGTCTGCTGCAGCACCAGCACAGTGCTCAACCACCCAAACAAAAGGAAGGGGGAGCTCAACTGAGCGCAGAAGGGGTTCCCAACTCGGAGGAGGAGCACTATAGTGGCAAGCAGCTCATTCACTTACAATCTTATATAAAGTTGGTGTTCGCCAAGCAAACTTGAGGTCAATCAAATTCGTTTGCGGCAGCCCCTGAAACGTCATGGTGAAGCAGCAGCAGCAGCAGCTGGAGCTCCTTTTGGCTGCAGTGACAGAGAAGTCGGCTGAAATACGGCGTACACACCCTGGAGGGTTTTTCCCTGAGCTTGACGTTGTCTCAGAGGTGCTCTTGCTCACCGTGGGATGGGCGCTTCTGTTCATTGTTCTGCGCTTCTTCGTATTCTCAAAGTTGTCGTACGATTTTAACAATCGCCTAGTGTCAGTCATCCACTGCCTGGTAGTCTTTCCCCTCGCATTACAGACTCTGAATTGGAGCGATCCTCTTGGTAACGTCGGGGGCATCAGCACCAATAAAGAGGTATGTAAGCGCCTGGCCATGTAGCCCCGATTGATCTGATGCTGTTCTGTTGTACATCTATCCAACTTTGAAGAAGGGTGCTGAGACTCAGGTGGTATGGTTAGAGGAGACAAGGGAAGGGACTCCAGCATGCCTAACCTGACTTGTTGGACTTGGAACATGTGAATTGCACTTGATTGTGCTGTATGCAAGGAGTGCCAATTTACTTCAACTCCCTGAGCAACCTATAGCACTGTCCACCTCACGTCAAATCGTTCTGCCAGAATCTCTCTGCTCAAGTCTTCTGTTGTACTTTTACCAGCGTGCTGTATCTGACATTGTTTCTCTGTCCAGGGCCGGATCCTTGAAATCAGCTCTGCCTACTTTATCTATGACCTCATTGGCTGCACATTGGATGCGAGCACGCGGGACATTTCCATGTCAGTACACCATATCGTCTCCTTGTTAGGCATGGGTTGGGGCCTCTTCTCGCACACGGTGAGCCGGAGCAATATTGTCAGGCCTGTCATCAGGTACTGTGGTGCATCGGGTCGGTGGCAGGAAGGGCCTCATAGATCAGGTCTCTCACTTTATCCCCTTGTGGAAGGGAGAATTCAAAGCTACAGCTTTGAGCATGAGGAAAAAGCTCCCTTATCATCACTCATTGTATGTGTTGTAGAGTAAATGTTGAAGGTCTCAATTGTCTTTGTGAATGACAGTATATGTTGAAGAGCGGCTTCTCAACCAGAGGACTTTCTTGACATTTTCCCACACATTAAGAACTGATTTCGATGTTGTTGCAGGATGGGAATGAGCTGGTGGTTTGCTTGGCTCTTGTCGAGATTTCGAATCCCTGTATGCACACCAGGGAGTTCATTAAGGAGTTTGGCCTGACAGGGACAGCGGTCGAGATGGCCAACAACGTGAGTCCAGCTTACTACAAATACCTTAAAGCATGCTCCTTCCCAAGTTGACCGACATTGTGAACGTTCAAGATTGTCAACTTTCTCAAGCTTTGGTCTCCTGGGGGAAGTTCAGAGATGCACTTGAGCTGGACTCAAGTCTGCTGGACTCAGGAGTGTCGAATCGGCTTTTTATTGCGAGGCCTCAAAAAGGAGCGCCAGGGCTTCTCATCTTAAAAACAGTTTTGGTTGAACTAAGGTGTACCGTGTTCTATGGGACTCTTTTACCGGGATCCTCTGATCGGTCTGTCTCTGTTTGCTGCAGCTCCTGTTTGCTGCTACCTTCACAGTCGCGCGCGTGGTCTTTGGGCCTATCCTAACATACAAAACGATAGCCTCCACCAAGCCACCCCTCCCAATCAAGGTGAGTGCTCGTCCTGTGCTGTACTGCCGGTGGCAGCGTAACTTCCGGAAAGTTTAGTTGTGAGCGAAGTGGAAGACGACTCAAGGAGGAAGTATCTGGGTTGGATTTCTAGCATCAAAGGATGTCACTTTCCTTTTTGTCCTTTTTGTTCCACCTTCTTGTGCCATGATAGAACTGGACTGGTCCGAATCCGCTGTTGGCTTGCATCTGAGGTAGATTAAATAGGCCCAAAACGTGCGGATACATTGGGATGCAATCCGTTCGAGCTAGGCTTTTGGTCCTGCCCTTGGACTGGCCTTAAAGTTGGCCTTAGTGCTATTTCTTAATTGCCCCTAAATGAGAGTGCTCGAGGCCCTCGAGACTGGCGGTTTCGTCCTCAAATATCGACCTTGGTTGCTTATAGCTACAGCGAATCGTTCGTCATGCAAAGTCGTCTTTTGGAAGGTCCTGGGAGGTCCGTCGTTCCAGCGTCTGTAGCGAACTTTGGCATGGGATGCGACGGGTCTAGCATGTTCGATAAGGTGACAATTTCTTTATGCAGATCGGTGCAGGAGCCCTCCAGGTTGTCAGCACATACTGGTGGTATCTGGTCGCCAGGATGGTGTATTACAAAGTCGTCAAAGGACGGGGTCGCAAAGCTAAGAAGACCTGATATGAAAGAGTATATATCTAGGTTACTTGGTTAGCCCCACATTACTGGAAAGTAATGTTAAGGCCCCCAATTGACCATGTGTGTGATTATGCTTATTGAAGAGTTGGGAAATGGTAAATCCAATTAGAAGCAGGTTTCCGAAGTGCCAAAGTCTAAAGGTGCGATTCTTTCATCTGTGTGCATCTGCCCTGATGAGCACAGGCCACTGTCTCACGACGGTGTCACTTGGATTGTCTGAAGGTCATGAAGTTCGCAATGAAATTATGAGGTTAATTACTATTAGCGTGGCATCTTGTCACTGTTACCCAGCGAATGCAAAAATTGACAAACATCTATCATCTGAGCGCAACCGTCTCCACATATATGGACGGTTATATATATTGATCTTTTGGCGAGCCTGCATACTTTGTTCATCTGTGCCCGTTAAGACGTGCAGAGCTCATAGCAAACAGGAAAACCGTCGACTAATTAAGCCTGTCATGGCTCCGAAACGATATGTTAATCAAACATTCACAACTACAATCACATAGTATGAACCTTATACTAACATGTCTAGCGAGCATATCAAGGTACGTGGTGCAATCAAGGAGACTATAGTAGTGCCAGCAATGGTAACCGCATAATATAACCGGTTATATTATGCGGTTACTCCAGCTGGCCGGTGCCAAGCGATGGAAAGCGGCATGAAGCAGGCCCAACCTCCCGGCCATACCGGCTACTAAAATGACTAATATTTAATCGTCGTTATCAATCTTGAACTTATATCGAACATATGCTTAACGCGCTCTTCGAATTCACAAGTGGGACATGGTTAGTGCACGCCCAGGCGCACAGCAGCTAACCACCGTTAACTTTACACTGCCTTTATATCATCGATACAAAACTGTATCTGTACGGTAAACGTACGGCCGCATTCATGCCATGGGCGCCACGATTAAGTAGTTGATATAGAAGCTTCCACGACGACCATGCATGCGTGAGGCTAAATTCTCTAGCTAGAAATCTTGAATCTCTTTACCAGGCGGGCTCACTGAGTCACTCAATCATCGTACACACACCTAGCATACTATTGACCTCCGAAGTTGCATAAGCATGAGCCAATAGCTTACAATATTGCCACCGGTGGTCTGATCGGCCCGTGCTCAACGACCGTTACTCACTGTCTGCAAGCAGCTGTTACTGGCCGAGGTAGTCATTGCAACAGGGTTTGACATACTCTTGTGGACCTTGTGCATGCAGGTGCGCACTTAATGCGATTATAAGGGACAAAGTTGCGGGCGGCCCGTTCGTTGCATACTCGTTAACGCATTTCGATGAAAAAGACGCTTTGGCTCATCCGTGTTGATTGTGATTTCACCCTCATGATCTCTGTCAGTTCTGGATCTTTGCTAACATCTACATATTTATGGTGTATTTATGGTTGCTCAGAGCATCTGACACCCATCGCCAGCTTTTTAGCTTTTCTTGGCTGGGTTTCATCAGTAACGACAATCCTGACCACGGGTTTGACTGGGCCTGCTGCCGTTGGAGGGGTTAAAGTGCATAGATTGACTGGTGTCCGGCGCTTATTTCTTGGTGAGAGCGGCGACGTATACCCAAATGGAGCATACGAAGGAGACGTCGTACGGTTTGACGTACCTGCACGATTGCGGTTCAAAGCCTTTTACTTTTGAGCAGGCAGAATCTTCCAGATTTATGTTACGTTCCTGATTCGACTACCTGGGCGGTTCGATCTGTCACTCTCTTCCGAGATTTCCGAGTTTGCATTTCAAACGGAAGCTCGCATCTGGCCAAGCCTTGGAAATGCCGCAGACGATGTTACAATACAACCAATCGCTTGTTGTCGATTTGTTCTGAGCTAGGAAGCGCTGAAGTGCCAATAAAATTCTGAGCCAATGACCACGTCGTTGAATGAGGGAAACAAATCAGCTCAGAGAAGGACGACCGGCTCCACAACGTCGTCAAAAGTCGACAGGAGAACATTAATCGAAGACAGTTGTGACGGGAGTCGGAGCAATTTGCGAAATTAGGAGGTTAGTTTTGGGTTTGAATCTGAGCACTTCGTCAATTAGCTGGCGGCGTCGGCAACCCGGAACATCAATCTCTTGCACCTTTCGCAGAGGACGCAAGACGTGTTCGCCCCAGTGCTTGGCGCTCCCAAAGCGGATTAAAAACGTATCAGAAAGCATTTCTCGAGAGTCACTTTGATAGGCTGTACTCTTGGGCCTCGGACTTACGACTTTGAATAGAATTCTTGGAAATTTTCTCTGCCGTCTTGATCACGTTCTTGAAACGCAACATCTCCCTCCAGTTCGGCGATGACAACGCCTCTCAGACGCTTCAAAAGAAAACATCGACGCGTGCCCACTCACGTCGCGACCGCAAACTCGACGTCCTTGTGGTACTTGTGCTGGATGTGCGTACTCAGAACCGCGTCCGTAACCGCGGACCCGTCCGTAAACGGCAGGTTCAGCGGGAAGCCCACGATGTCGTAATTCTTGAGCACGGGCGCGAGCATCGCATAATTGTCCGCGGCCGCGACCGCGTACCGCCGCGCGGCCGCGCCGGCCGCGGAGCGCGGGTCGTCCGGGTCGAGGATGACGTCAGGCGGCTGCGGCAGTGGCGCGGAGAGCGCGTCGTGCTCAAGGTCGCGCAGGAGCTCCTTGAGAATGCGCGAGCACCTGCGCGCGCGGTTAGGAGGGTAAGTTATGAGTGAACCTTTGGTGGTTTAGGAGTGTAGATGAGTAGGAAGGTAAATAGATTGCTAGGACATCTTCCTCGTTCGTGACGGTTGGGCTGGCCCCTTCAAAATGGTCTGCGCAGGACTCGTTGACAACCTGTTGTAGCGCCCACCGATTGACCTTGCTCCCCTCTTTGGATCGATCACGTCTCCTCGTCTCAGAGGTCAATTGAGTTCCTAAGGTTGTGAGCTTCCAACAAGTTCTAGCATCTCACCTTCTGTTGAAGTGCGTGTACACGAGTTTCCTGGCCGCGGTGATTGCGTCCATAACCTCCCGCTCCAGGCACGCCTCCAGCTCCTTGTAAAAGTCGCCGGGCAAACTCACGTACTGAACCGGGACCTGAGGTAAGGCGTTAATGGAAAGGGTTAGGTTTCGCGTCGACCGAAATGGCTGAGCGCTCATCTCCGGTCCTCCGGACCAATGAGAACGCTTCAATCGATCACGTGGCATGAGAAGTACAGACCTGGTACAGACGTTTGCTAGAGAGGCAGTGTACTAAGCTGTACGCGGAGCGGAGATGCAAAGCTTGTGAGCCTGGCAGTTTTCGCTCGACGCGGAACCTTAGGCACCAGACTCTCCGGTCGGTTGGTCCTTCTGGGGCAGTCGACTTCGAGAAGGGGCAGCGTGGTGCAACGGAAGGTAGAAAGCGGTCGACGGACCTCGCTTTCTGTTCTAGCGATGCGACAAAACCTCTATCAAAAGCTAGAGGAAGTCGTGGGGACGAGTATGACGTCAGCGACAAGCAGCCGCCTCAAACCTCTTGATTCGTCCCGAAGTGGCGCGCTCCCGCATTCACGGACATCGCACCGAGCGAAAAAACACGTAGCGCCGAGAGTCCTCCGGAATATGCCGTCGCCGGTCCACACTGACAAAAACGCTCGCGTTCTCCAATCTGGCTATACTTTCAGGTCTATAGGTGTTCTTGCTATGAAAATCATTTCCCGAGTCGTACCTGGACGCTTCCGAGGTCCCTGTGCGGGAAGGCCTTGTCGGCGAAGAAGGGCCGCCAGCAGCGCGGGTCGTTGAGGCGCCAACTGATCTCCCACGGGGCCCCCACCGGCTGGACGTTGGCCCAGATGTTGTGCTCGTTGAACACGACGCCCACCTGACGCAGGAATGACGTCACGATCGACGGCAGCCTTGGAAAACCCAAATACAGATGTGGCTCGGACACGATCATGATAGCGAAGAAAGGAAGGGAGCACGGGTGCAGGTCATCTTGTTGGCCGTCTTACTTGTGAAGGATTTCTGCTGCGGATCTGTGAAAGATACGAATTTATAGGCACGAGGCATCTGCTTTCGCGTTTCTTCACGGAGAATAATTGGATAAGGATGCAGAAAAGACGCTCGGTGCTTAAAGACCTCTGAGAATAAACTACAAGGAACTGCGACCAGCGATCCTGAAAGTCATAGAACTTCAAGAGCCCGTTATTTTTTATCTTCCATCCTGGGAGTCTTGGAAGCAACCGCTTGAACCAGTCCTCGTTCTCGATTGAACCCTTCACCGAAAGCACAAAATTGAGGTTTAAAACCCTGACATTTTTGAAGACCAAAACCCCAAAACCCTCACCTGGCGCAGCTCGCAGCTCGCGTCCTCCGCGGCGTACACGCGCCCCGTGCTCGCATTCCAAACCCTAGTGACGTCATGCGCGTCGCCGGCCGCGCCGTCGCCCGCGATCGTTACCACGCACGCGGCCTCGGCGTCCCGCGTGCCCACTCCCAGCGCAACATACGCCGGCCAGCCGGAGTGCAGAAAGTAATTGCACAACGTCAGCGCGTGCTCCTCCGAGTCGCCCGCGCACAACGACAGGAAATCGCGGCACGTCATCCACACGTCCTGCGCAAGCGAAGGGTTCGGAGAATCGTTCAGGACGCCTGAATTTCTACAACTTAGGGGCAGAGCCTGTGTTCCAAAGAGATTGATTCTGCTTCAAATACTATAAGAAGCTTTTGTCGAAGCCGGGAACCTGGAAAGCGCGTTCTGATCCGGGTAAGCCGTGCAGCGCGGCTGAGCTCTGCACCCACGTAAAGCATACGCGTACCTCGCGCCAAACTCGCCGCTTGTGTTCAATTCCAACGGACCCTTCTACGAATTCGATCCAAAGATCTCTTCGTCGCATTCTTATCTCCCAGGTATTTGAACCTTGGCTTCGCAATGCGCGCATGCTATATCGACCATTTCAACTTTCCTTGTTAGTTTTTAGAAACATACCCTAATCAAGGGTTTTACCATTAAAGGAGGGGCATGGGTTAAGGCAGACCCTTGAACTACCTTCCTTGGACCAATCTGGTAGGAAAGCGATAGCTTCGCAAAGAGCGCCTGATGTCGGGAGTATTTAACGTGCCCAAAAACAAGAATCTCACACGCTCCCACAACTTAATCAAAGCAACTCACCGCCCCCGCGCTCTGGAACGCCGCCCAATCCTCGACAAACGGCACCATCGACACAAACCGCAGCAGGCGTCGCATGGCGACGTCTTTGGACCCGGGCCCTGCCGGGTCGTCGTCGAGGAGCGCGGGCGGCGGCGCGAGCGGGCTCACGAAGCGCGGCAGAAAGATCGCGGCGCCCTCGTGATCGGTCGCGAGCGCCTAAAAGAAGGGTTTAAGAGGTTATCTCCCTTGGTTTTCTGCTTAGTCAGTAAAAGTGGGCTCGGTAAGCGCGGTAAACCGATCGCGGCGCCCTCGTGATCGGCCGCGAACACCTGAACAAAGGGCTTAGGGAATCTAGGGATATGGGCTTTGCGAAACCTAGAAATTGCGGCGGCGCGAGCGGGCTCACGAAGAAAGATCGCGGCGCCTTCATAGTCGGTCGCGAGCGCCTGAATCAAAGAGGTTGGAAGTTTTGATTATTGTGAGGCGTACGTCTTGGCTTCAGAAATGCGGCGCGACTGAGAGCGGGCTGAGGAAGCGCGGCATATCGCTGGGGCCCCCTCTCGGTTGGTCGTGAGCGGCTGAAAGGGGAAAATTCAAGAGATAAGAGGTTCTCGAGTAAGTGTGAAAGATTCGCTCTTCAAAAGCGGCTCGCAGAGCGCGGCGCATTCGCACTCGGTCGCCAGCGTTTGGACACGGGTTCTGAGTATTAACGTTGAGGGTTTCAATAAACCATCGCTTTTCTGGCGACTTTGTACTCAGATGTGGGGTGAAAGCCGCTCCTCGAAAGTAGTTTCACTGAAATGCGGCGCCCTCGTGCTTCATCTGGTTCTCCGTTCAGATTCTGTGATTTCGTGCGTTGAAAGGCGAAGAGTAGAAGTAAATGCACGCAAAAAACGTGACTGCAAGGAGGGCCAGGACGGGTCACGAAGTCAGGCAGAAAGATGGAGGCAATCTTATTGTCTTCCGAGGACCCAGAGAGAGGCCTGATAGTATGGGTTCAGAAGGGAGATGAGCGCAATGAGGCTGCTAGCCTCCCTCCTTGTCGCCTGCCGTCGCTGCACCTGAATTAGTAGTGCTTGTGGTCAAGGAAAAGAGAAGCTTCTGGTCTGGACGAGCACAGTAAAACCCAGGATGACAGTCGCTTCCATGAGACCCTAAGAAAGTGGAAGCGTTTTTACCCACTAGTGTGCGCTCGTTCCACTTCACCATCGCTGTGCGCCTTTAAACTAATTTGTTGAAGTGCGGAAAACAACCTGAGAAGCAGCAAATTTCTAAAATGGTCGCACCTTATTAAACAAGAAACTCCCTGGTATAAGCTTGTAGCCGGACCCTTCCGAGAATCAAGAAGGTTATCCGCTGACCCTACCTTGATAACCCGCCCTTTGCACACTGGCATGGCGAGCAGATCCCGCTGCCACACGTGAGCGTACCGCGCCAGGTCCTCTTCCTCGCCGCTCTGAACTTCCTCCGGAACCTGCGGAACCGGAACCGGCAGTCTGGGTTTACTTGAAGTTGCGCCTGATGCTTTTTCAAGTCTTCAAAAGATGTTCCGTATTTGAGCGGATCTAAAACAGTGACTTGGCTGGCGGCGCAAGTTTCTTAATCAAGAATTCTTTACGCGGCTGAGATTGGGCTGCTCAAGGAAAGTAATGATTTCATGACGACAGCTGAACGTTTGGCGCAACCAACCCGGTTGAGTCTCCCCTCTGGGTACGTAAAGCAAAGCCGCCGGTCACCGAAGAAAGCCTTTGCGTTGGTTTTAGCGAACTTCATGGACGCACCAACACACGGCGCACTCATAGATGTGCAAACTTCTGTAATCGCCAACTTTCTGGAAGCTTCGACAGTGCACTGGATGACAGAGGGCTTTAGAATGTCGACATTCAGGGTTTTGATATCTGATCCGATCACGAGCTGCTGGGACGGCTGCCGGCATAGCATCGTATAACTGTAGTGCTACAGTCTGTAAAAACGTTCCAATTTAATCTTGAGGGGAATTCTACATCTGGGCTTTTGAGTGTCTGCCGCTGCTCACGTGCTGCGGGACGGCCAGCTGCGGCCGCAGCGTGGTATGTACAAGAGATAATTTCACAGTCATCTGGGCTTTCCATTCTGATTTCAGAACCCGTTGTTTCAGAATCCTTTTTCGGGTTTCAGAATCCGCTTAGAGTCTTGGAACCATTTTCTGGTTTCTAAACCCGCTTCCAATATTCGTTGGGGCAATCAATCTTTGTGTTGCCTGACAATTCAAATCTAAGTGAGTCTGAATTTTCCACACCGCAGATCGTTAAATTGATCCCTTTGCTATTGAGTACCCTAGGGGCATAAAATTGGAAGAAAAAAAAAGTCTTTTTTTTTGGAACAAAATTGAAAAATGTTGCTCACGTGCTGCGGCACCGCGAGCTGCGGTCGCAGCGTGATATGCAGCGTGAGCAGCGTGGCGGCCCCGTCGTGGAGCTGCTTGAAGCCCAGGTTGACCGGGGGGGTCTGCACCGGGAACGCGCCGTGCACGCCGCCCGCCTGGTAAATGCTCCCGGCCAGCAGGCTGGGGGAGGGAAAAGGACCCGGTTGAGATTTTGGTGACGAGAATTACATGGTGGAACTTGAGATATTGTATTCTCGTCACCTATTCTCCCGGCCAGCCGGCTGGGGGAGAGAAATGACCGGGGTTGGTCGTCCTGAGCGGACGGGCTTGAGGAGTCAACATGACGAGATGCGGCAGTGAGATGAGATCCACATCAGTCTGGTAGACATTTAAAACGAATTGAAGGGAGACTGTTGCGCGCGGACCTGCGTCAATTCGAGCTGCATCGGTGGCAAACGTGGAACTGATAGAACGAAATGACGCTTATCACCTGCTCTTTTGGATGATCGAGAACGCAATTCTTTGATTCCGAACCTGCAAAAGCAGCATCTTCATCGAACGCTGTCTCATCCCAGACGTCAGTCAAACCGAACGGCCAAACACTGACTGGAAGGTTGACGTTTATAAGTGACTCGAAAAGCGTTCAACGTGAAAAAGCCTCTGAAAGCCCGCAAATTTGAGAACCGATCAGTCAGACGAGCTGGCTGAGAACGGTACCCAAAGTAGCAACGAGCAGGTACCTGAAGGAACCGAGGTACCGCCTCTGTAGCGGCTGTTCTTGCTGCGACTCGGGGTTGTTGTCGTCCTCGTCGGGAGGAGCGGGGACTTCGTCGAATACGCTGATTCGCAGAAGGTCTGAAGAGTTCTGGAACAAGAAGAAGAAAGCAAACCTCGGTTCAGCTTTCAGGACAAAAAGGTGTTATGCAAGAAAAGGTCACACAAGTGACGATCCCGTCTGAGACAAAGGTAATCACGTTTGGAGAGGTCCATCCCATTGTGGGCCGGTCTTCTGTCAAGGCGTCAAGGGAATGCAGACCAATGCTTCGTTGGCGTAACTTTTCTGGAAGCATTGATTCGCCTATTCCGATGACCTTTTCCGGTACGGAAAAAGTCAGATGATTCGCGAGGGCATCGCTAGAAATCTGGATCGTCGAACGGGGGCGGGCGAGAAGATCAGATATAGCCCGTTTCATGCTTTCAGATCGGATATGGCTCGGTGAACCAAAGCCAATGCTATTAGATGTCTCCACCTCAAATGTGAAAGTGCCCACATCGTCTTTTTCGGACGTGTGAGTGCCCAAGAAAGATGGCCTAGTCAGGGGCAAATTCCATGCCCCCCTATCGACGAGAATGCCGAAGGGCACCGGACACCGATGATGTGCTTTACCTTGAGAGAAGAAGGCGAGAAATCGCCGCCTGCGGGCATGAACGGCAGCGCGACGAGCTCGTTCCACTGGGGGTTGGGGCCCTCGGACGCGCGCGTGCGCTTGGTGGCGCCCTGGAATGACACCTGGCACGACGGAGAATAGGACTTTAAATTTGAATAAGCCTCGCACTCCTATCAGAAAAGCACCAGAATCCCTTAGAAGGGTTTCGATTTTCAAGCGGCTGGTGCTGTGTGAAGATGCAAAGAGATACGTTCTACGAACAAGTTTTCGAACCCCGGCTGAGCGACTGCCGTCAGAATTTGCTGAAATACGCACGTTGCAACCCAGCCATTGACATAATTTCAAAGGTATTGTGCTCTTAGAAGCCCTCTCGACGAGTTTGGAACCAGGTTCCTTAACTCGGACGCTTTCTCCTCACCTCCACGAATGGGCACACCCGTTCTGAGAATTCCGGTTCCGGTTCAAAGACGAGGAGCGGAACGGCTCGCCGATCCCAGCTGCTGCCCCTGCCAAAGCATACGCAATCATCACGGTCAGTATCTGGCGCGATGCCTCCATCTCACTGTCTTTGTTTACACTACCGGATCAATTGTGATGAGAAGGTTCTAGTCTTGTATTATTACTTCGGTTAAGCAGTACTACGTCCCGGTCGCCAGTCTGCTTTTTGTTTGTTTCACAAACGTCGGCTATCCTGGCAAATCCTCACCAATCTTTCACTCAATTCAAGCCCTTTTCAACACCTGCATTTGGAGATCCTCACCTTGCTTGCGGAGTCATCAGCCCGTCCCTCCTCCCCCCCCCTCCTCCTTGCTGCGCGTACGGCCCCCCCGTCCGGCGCCGCGTCTTTCTCACCGGGACGTTGTGCGCCTTTTGCACGTAGACTGCGATTTCGCACCGGTCGGGGTGCGCGGCCAAAACTTTCACCGGGCGCTTCGCGGGGCGCAGCTTGCGCCGCGGGGCGAGCAGGTGGAACAGGAAGTCGAGGTTCAGCTTGAACTCGGGGAGGGGGGTGTCCTTGATCACGTCGTCAACCTGGACGGGCATGTTTTCAGGTTCGAAGTCCGGGCATGCGCTTGCTGTTTCCTCAAATTCCGATTTTGAAAGGCTTGTGGTGTGCTCAAACCGATTTGCAGTTTGAGAAGTTTGTTTCGAGACACTTCTGATTAAAGCTGAGCAGTGCCAAAACTTCTAAGGGCGACTGAAAAATGGGAAAAGGCGACTCCGAACGGCTAGAGAGGTTTTGCCTTTTTTGCAAGTTGGGGTACCACTTGTTAGATACCCAGGTAATGTAGGGCGGTTGATGAGTCGCAGTCAGGCTTGCACGCATAGTGAATTTCAGAAAGGAAAAGCACAACCAAGAAGCTTTCCAACGCGCCGGCTGAAGCCCCAACTCACCTTGTACTGTCGCACGCCCGTCCTGAGCCGCTTATGTTTCTCGACGTTCGCCTGAACCCGCGACAGAAAATCCTGGATGCGCCGCTGCCGCTCCTCCGTCGCGCGCAGCGCCGCGATCGCCTGTCGCGTTTCGGGGGGGCCGCCCCGGCTGGGGGCGCTCCGCACGAGCGGACCCCCCTGCGTGAGCTCGTCCAGCATTTTGTCGTCCACGTGGCTCTCGAGGAGAGGGACTTCGACGCCGCTGTGGATTCCGCTCTGCATAGAATTTGGAGTGCCGGCGTGTTCTGGAGTGCCATTCAGAAACCGGAAACAAAGTCTTTGCAAACTACTGCCAAGGATTCTTGGAAGCACTTCTGGTTCATTTTGTCAAACTCATATATCCACTTCAGCCCACTTAGCAAGGAAAAGCGCTCGGCGAGACGAAGAGAACATCCGACTTTCCGAGTCGTAAATGAAAGCAGATACTTATCAGAGAGTAGTCATGACCACGAACTTTTGTCGAGTTTCCGGACTTGTTGAGAAGTATTGGCAGTGCTCAGACCATTTCTCCGGCCCCAAGAGAGACCAGTTTAATCATCCTGAGGAGCGAATCCTTCATGTGCATCATTGTGTACGCCGCACCTTGTTCCACCGGATCTTGAGCAGCGCGAGCCGCTTGCTCGCGCGCGCGCCCTCCAGGCGCAGCTCCTCCTCGGTGCTGTGCAGCCGGAACGCGCGGCCCGCGCGCGCGCACGCGTCCTGCGCGCGCAGGAGCTCCAGCACGGGCGCGTTGCGCGGGTCGTTCGGGTCCAGGCCCGTGCGGCGCAGCCAGGCCGCCAGCTGGAACGGGCTCACCTGGTTTACCAACAAAGGGGTCAGGTTTTACCCCTGATCAACAGAAGGGCAAATCTACCCCCTGTATCAAGAAAAAAGGGGAATTCTCTCTGCCTAAATCTAAAGAGGAAAGCGGTAAGTTCAGCCCCCTAGTCTACAGAAGTGCGGTTGAGCTTTTCCTCCCTGGTCAGAGAGCTTTAGCTTGACCGGGGGGCTGAAGTCTGACGTTCATCCATAGCGGACCGTATGTTCGATGCAAAAGATACGAGGCGGCACCATTCCATTGTCTGCGCTTCCTTGCCCTGTCGTCAACCTAGAGCACTGGTACATGAAAAGTTGCTCAATCTTCAGCCACACCGATTCGCGCCTGGATTCATGAACGGCATGTCCCTACCCAAACTGGATCCTCCTCATGCTGTTTGCGCTGCCTGAAAACGTCCCTCTTCCAGCCCAAAATCATCACACGATCCTCAGAACCCTTTCCTACCTGACCGATCCCCCCAATGGCGCTCCGATGGCGCCCTGGGTCTAAACCCCGGAGGAGCGGCGGCGCGGGCGGCGCGATCGCCGCGCTGCTCTCGAGGTCGCGCTGGTCGCGCGTGTCCACCCAGGCCACGCGCGCGTGCAACACGCCGCTGCCGCACAAGAAACAAGCTTCAGTACTTTCCGCATTGAGACCTTCAATTCAGATCCTTGAGAAACCAACTAGGATGATGGACTTAGTACGACCGCAAAACTCCATCCAGAAGCAAGGTGGAATGACAGGAGCCTGGACCTGTAGTTCCATGGACGCTGTTACTGAAACTGGCTGACAAATTCACACGCAACGCTCTGCCACGTGTCCGACGCGAGGGAGTCGGCCGGCATGTTAAATCCTCTGAGTCCACTATGAAAACACTACCGGATCCTTCTGACATTGAAAGAGCTTATTCGAAGTGACTTTTAGCTGGGCTTGAAGATTCCGCGACGGAACCTGCCGTCTTTTAGACGCTCGTCCTCGGGCGGCAGTAGACGGAACATCGTTAAGGCGGATGACTTCGCACCTGGGATAGTGTACCCTGTACCCAACAGCGCCGTTCGCCGCCGTATGGATCGTTCCGTTCGGAACCGTTCCGTTGTGTGGCCACAGGGGCGAGAACGGAACCGATCCCGTGAACTGGTATTCTTGCAGAGACACCAGCCCGGAGGCCTCGTCAGGAAGGGGCACCGCAAGGAAGACCTGCACAGAATCGCAACGATCTTCGCTACTGCCTTTCCTAAAGTCTGTTAATGCTACTTACGACTTCAAAACCCAGAGTCGAAATAATATTAGAACCCAGTTGCAGATTCTTGAAAGGCAGGGGAAACGGGACCGGTTTCGATTCGACATCTTCTGACTTGGAGTTACCGTTCAATATCTTTTGGGGCATGTAGTTGCCAGAAACTCAACTATAAGGCTTTGTGTCCAAGGGTCCGTATAGCCATAAGGGCCGCGAGCAGATTGTGTAAAGTTGCGCCACTGAGACCACGAGGCGACGGAAATGGTCCTGATAGCCAAGATGGAAACCAAGCGCTTCCATTGAAAATAAGCAACTAGAACTGCACGGTGGACAATCCATCTGACTTCCCGAATGTAAACCACAGTGATTCGGACATTCGGGGCAACCACGATTGCAGCTTAGCACAGATTGGGGCCTCGTCAGTATTCGCCCCACCTCCGCAATGAGGGCGTCCCGCAGTCCCCGTTCCCACAGCTGCACCTTCACACTCTCCGGCCAACGCAGCAGCTGCAGTGTGAATACGTCCCGGAAGTCCAGGCTGAAGTCCTGCCGCAGCGCGCAGTCGACCGCCTGGCCGACCGCGTGACCGTTCACGATAAGCCTCGCGTAAACCCTGCAGCGGCCGACCGCGCGCCGGCGCGCGACCTCGGGTTTGGGGACGTTCGTCTCGTCGCGCGGGAGGCCGGCGACTAGGAGCGGGGTGAGGATCGGGTCGCCAGGTTGGCGGTAGTGGGAACTGGGGGGCGAATAGAGGGGTTCGGATTGTAATGTTGCTTGTAGGGATAATGGTCGAATAATTCTGGAACGTGTCGGAGCTCTGGCCAAGATCCAGTACACCGCACAAGCGGCCGCTAATGATAGGATAGGCAGAGGGGCATTGCGGAGAAAGGTGTGGCCAGGATGACTGAAATCGACCGATGCTCTTGGAGAAGACAGGGGCCAAAATTGACGTCACTTTCACCGCTTTCTAATGTCCCCAGCCATACTTCGAGGCAAGAAAATCGCAGCAAATGTTGTACCATGTCGAAGCAACCCCAGGTCACCTCACATCTAGAGCAAATGAGAGTTGAAGGAGCAAATATATAACTGGAGGCTCTTCAGTTCTCAGGGGCACGATAAGACGCTTTTGAGCCCTGGCATGCGTTTTCTATTTTAGCTTGAACAGAGAGATCACCTGCTGCCCGGTCATTACGACTAGAATTCATGGTGAGCATCGACTTGCAGATGGCGAAAGCCGGTTGCACTCAATTGAAGCAGTCCCCGGATTGTCTCACCTCCTCAGCTCCTTTATTGCCCGCTTCTTCGCCCTCCTCTCGTCGAACGGCTTCCCTTCGGGAGGCACCATCGCTTCCAGCTCCCTCCGACTCTCCTCCACGCGCGCGCGCGTGCGCACCTCTTCCTCCGTCTCCTGCTCCTCCCCGACCTCCTCCTCTCGCCCTAAACCCTCCCCAAAACCCCGCATGCGCTCGCGCGCCTCGTCGCGCAGCCGCCGCCGCGCCTCGCGCGCTTCCGTTGCGCTCTGCTCCTCCTGCGCGAGCTTTTGCGCGGCCTTCGCGCGCGCCTCCGCCCACGCCGCGCGGTCGCGTGCCGCTGCGGCGGCGTGGGCGGCCGCGGCTTCGTCCACGAGCAGCCGCAGGTCCTGCTCGTAGCGCACGGCGTCGCGCTCGGGGTTTGGCTCTTCCTTCTTGACGACGAGCTGGATAACGGTGGTCCTGTTTAGGAAAGGATAATGATCAAGAATTCAGCCTTAGCTTGGAAAGTAGGAGTCGGCGTGTTTGCGTCATCGCCGATGGTGCGACCTAATGTGTTCGTTTCCAAAGCCGTTGCGAGATCTCCAGAAATTTGTTTGTAGGTAGGAAGCGAAGCGACGGAGGGTCACTGATTTCTCGTCACCTTATGGCACAGTAAAGCCTCCTAGACTTGACAATATAGCATCAGTATGTTTTTTGAAGAAGGAAAGAAATCAGCGCGGTTTGTATTTCACTTTTCACTCAGTCTTCAAGTTTTCATCTTCGTTTGCAATCCATGTCGGATTAGGAACCGAGATGTACGAATTGCAACTTTCATTGTTTCAAGCATTACAGCTCCGGCTCTATCTGTGAGGAGCCACCAAGATCAACCCGATTCGTCAACTGTCTTGCCATATTAGCACCTCTGCCCAACACAACCAGACAACCACTTTCGTTCCTGTCAGAGCCCAGGGTTGAAGGACATCGACTTCCGTCGCCGGTCTTGGCTATCAACCACTATCAAACAGCATTTGTTTGGCCGTCGAAGACGCGTTATGACCAAGGTGAGTTCAGGTTTTGATCTGCACCTTTCACCGTCAATCGAAGTGGTGATAGCCAAAGCGAGGTCAGGTTTCGGCGACCGGAGGCCATGTTCTCCATCCTGGGCTCCGTCAATACTGTCGTTTCACCGAAACCTGGTTGTACGGTACTCGGATTAAAACCTCCTATCTGGTTTGACACCGTTGGATTTCCAGACTTAACACTAGACCCGAGAACGGAAAGCTCACCTGAAACCCTGCCGCTGCCGCGCCTCCTCCACCTCCCGGTACACGTCCCGCATGCGCGCCACCAGCTCGCGCATCAGCCGCTCCTCCCCGTCCCGCAGCTCGCGCGCCTCGCGCAGCTCCGCGCGCATCTCCGCCAAACGGGCGTCCGGCCCCTCCGGATCCGCTGACGTCAGCCCGTTCTGCGCCACGTCAGCAGCCTCCAATCCCTCGTTCTTCCCACTCCCCAGCCTTTTGATGGTCATTGGCGCCCCCCCAGAATGACCATCCAGCGTAGCGGGCATTCTTGCGGTCGCCCCCCCCTCGCCGACCGGCCGTTTCGACCCCCCCCTCGCGGCATCCACGCTCGCCTGGAGCGCCTTCACCTTGTCCTCGTAGAACCCCGTTAATCCCGCCCGTTCCCGTTTCTTGTACTCCCGAAACGCTGCGAGCAATTGGCCGGCCAGAATGTCTTCCCGGCTCGCGAGAGGGTGCTCCAGAAACTCCAGCCGACCGAGTTCGATGTCGAGGCGGTAAAGCGCGCGGCGGCCCCCCGTGAAGAAGCGACGGCTGGGCACGTGCCGGAAGTACTGGAGATACGGCGCGTCAGGGTTGTACCTGTATACAGGAATTGCATAACATTACTCCAAGTGCACAGTTTAAGCTAATACGTGTATTAGTCTGACCGTGTAGTAGGAAGACCTTCTAGCGTCTGCTTCATCCGTTTGCGACTTGTGAACCGCAGACCTTGGAGCACTCTTACCGCGCTTGCATGGAGGGAAACGGACGTGCTATTTCCATAAAAGTTCAACCTCTTCCCCGGTCGTCCCATGCCCCCTCCTTGTTTGGAGAACTTTTCACTACCAGGAAGTTTCCTCAAAGAAAAACTTTCAACCGCGGCTTTAAGACCGTTCTGTTTTCACCCCAGTCAAAGGCTCTGAAAAAGAAAGACACTGCAGGCGCTGGAATACTCTGACAGAGACCAGACGTCGAGAGTTGCGGATCCAAAGGTAAACTCTCGTAGGAGTGTTCAACTTAGCGTGGGTATGAGACGTCTAGAGCCAGCTCTGAACAAATGGCGTCGTTTGCGGCAAACTACTAACCCACTTATCCGTCAGCCATAACAACGGTCGTTTTCGCACAAAGCAACGAACACATTGCGAAGGCCCACTCGGATAGCAACACCGGACAACCCCACTACGAGTCTCCTCTCACCGTTTTGCCAGTCGGTTCATCTCCTTCGCAAGGGGATCCCCTAAGCACCGCATCTGGTTCACGTCCCCATCCACAAACCATCTCTGCAGAGGGCCCCGCACTCGACATTCGTGCACCAAACGGTTCACCATACGCATATTGTTCCTCGTTCTAGTTCTCGGCCTCTGAACAATAAACAGCCCGTCATCCTGCGGGAGATACGCTGGCTCCGCTGATGCGGCCACCGTCAGCCAGGGGGGAAAGACGATGAGTGTGCTCGAGTCTGCGGCGTCCCCCCAGAGCGAGAGCGCGCTCGAGGGGGGGCACGATCGCACGAGTGTGCAGGAGGGGCTGCCTGAGAGGGTCTGGCCGAAAAGAGTGACGTCACCGGGCGCCGAGAGCTCGCCGGCGTTGGGCGGTGGGAGGCTTCTAACGATCTCCTCTATCTCAGGATGTTGTTCTTGCGTCCGAAGCTGTGCCACGTCAGCATTGTGTGGCGGTTCCGAAAACGCCCCCAGGGCGCGTTCAAAGGCGGACAGTGCGTTCCCCTCCCCATACTCGTCGCTTCCATCCTCGTCGTTTGGAGTCCAGCCGCCTTGGTCCCCAAAACCAGATCTCTTATTGCTTCCCAAAGCAGACTCCGATTTACCCTCCCGCCTGCGACGCTCTCTCCTTGTCGAGCCACCACTGTCAGTGAACGGGTCATTACCTCTTCTTGCTTCTAAGAAAGAGTCTGGCTTTTGCGAAGTTTCTGAAAAGGAGTCGTGCCAGCTTGAGCCAGGGCCCTGTGTGAGCGAATCCTGCCTTTGTGCATTCCCTAGCGGTGAGCCGCGCCGTGCCGAAACGGGGCCCTCGGAAAAGGACCCATCGCGCCCGCTGCTTATGCCAAGCTTTTCCCTCCTCCTCCGCTCGCTCTCCCCAAGCGTCTTTTCTGTTGTCCGCCTCTTGTTTGTCGCAGCACCCTCCCCGTCGGAAGCTTGGCGTGTGTCCGCTTGAGCTCCTTGCAGCCAACCGCTGCTTTTACCGCTGGCGCTTGGCTCTGTCGCTGTAACATCCTCCCTCCTTACCCTTTCTATCGGCTCATCAATTTGCCGCTCCTCTTTTCTTGAAGACTCGCTTGCATGGTCCGAAGGACGGCCAAGAAGAGCTCCTACAGAGCCCCCAGCATTTACTTTGCGCTCAGAGTCCCTATTACCACCCTCGTTTCGACTTTTACCACTCTCTTTTGTTCTCCCACTGCTTTCCTTAGCCAGACTTTTACTCCTTCCAGACTCCTCTCTTCGTCTTTCGGACTTTCCTCCCTCCCTATCTCTGTGGTGCTTCTTCTTTCGCTTTTCTTCTTGTTCCTCCCCCTTCGGCTGACGGGCACCACTTTCCTGCCCAGGGGGCCCAGTGCTCCTTGCCGGAATAGCCGAGCTGCCCCCCTCTCTCGGAGCTGTTTCGAGCTCACCTGCCCCACTCCCCCCCCCTGCCCCATCCCTTCTCGGAACCCCCTTGAAACCATCCACTCTTCCAACCCTACCTGACCCCCCAACCCGAGCTTCGCTAGCCTTCCGTGCTCTCGGTGTGCCCTCCCCCCCATTTCTGCTGTTGGACCTTTTCAGCCGCTCCCTGATGCGGTCTCTAGCGGTAAGAGTTACCGCGCTTTCCCGTTCAGCACCGGCCGTGCTGCTTAGGGAGCTGCTCCTGCGTCGCTGCTCGAAGAGCTCCTCCTCTTCGGCGGGAAGGACCGCCATTGTAGCTCTTAGGGTTTCATTGTATATGCATTTATTCCACTTCTGCTACCTAGCTAGCTGAATATCTGTTGGCGGACCAGGATCCGCATACTGTGCGGCGTTCCCCACTCCGGCATTCGTGCATGGTGCCTTATTGAGTTTAGCTCGAGCTGGTAGAGCTAAAAGCTCTGAATCTACCTCAGTATATTGTGTCTGCAAAAGTTGGTGCAGAAGTGGCAAGCAGCTCACGGTGAGCTACCACACTCGAGCTGAGTTTGATGCTTTACCGGAACTTAGTCTTCCAAAATCTGTAAAACTGCTGCTAACGACGCGACGTCCATTGAATACTGCTCGATACAAACACTCAAGCAAAGAACTTACTAAGCTATGACGCGCCTAATGATTTATTCAGAGCTTGCTTTTGGAAGTGAAGTGCCTGGAGTGCATTGAGCTTTGCAACGAGGTGTCACGAGGAGCATCGCAAATTGCAGATAAACGGTAGGTGCAAAATAATATTTACATATGTAGTGTACCTGTTGTACTTAGTTGGCGCAGAGCTGTATTCTTGTAATACATTTTGTGCACAGCTGCTTCACTCGACACATTGGTGTTCTGGGGGATCGGATCCAAACCCGTCAATGCGGCTGAAAGCGCGTCGGCGCTCCTCGCCCTCTTTGGCTACAAGAGCCGTACGATCATCTTAAAATCGGAGGCAAGCTCCTTAGCTTGCCAAGTGGCAGAATGCTGTGAGTTGGCACTCAATGGCAAAATCATGGGACACGCGTCGTCGAGACGTCTCGCCTAGTGGACACGTTCTCGGATCTCAGGCTAGCTCCACTGGCACAGGGAGATACTTTCACGGAGTTTTCCTTCTGTTCCTGAATCTTGAAGTCGTACTTTAACAGCAAACGCGAGCACTGGCTTCTGCGATTGAAGGTGATCGCTACTTGTGTAGCTGCTGGAATGTGAGCTTCTAGTAGCTGAGAGCTAAATCAGCTGTATTCATATTTCGTTGCGGCAATCGGTCTACAGATCCAGCTTCTGTAAATCTTCCGTAAAGAAAGAATCCTTGTGCACGAAAAGAAACTTTCTCACAGCAGCCAAGAGAACCACCGCAGCTGCCTTTTGAAAGTACCAGCATCACTTGCCGAAGATTGTTCTGACACAATGGACCACCTCAGACAGTACAACAATGACGCCGCCGTCCTGAACCACAACGTGCATATGGCGACTCATCCAGGGGATGCGGCCCGGTACAAGATGCGGAGCAAGAACCCTCTCAACAGGTGGAGGTGGCAGTTCAACAACAGGAAACACGCAATGCAGCACCCCGTTCAACATCAGCAAAACAAGGCCAAATGGAGAATGAACCGGTAGGTTCTTCCTTCTGATTCAAGCTTTATACAGAGAATCTGTGCGCTCTGCATGCATAGGGTCTCCTCGCATCATCGGTTGCTCATTTCTGAATCAAGTACTGTTGATGAATGACCAGCTGCTACACACCAGCTCATTATGGATGGTTGCAATGGCCGGCTGCTAGTTGCAATTGCAGGCCTGCAGGCCACTTGGCAAACTTCTTTTGAGATCGGATCCCTGCCAGCACAGAGATTGGTGTTCTTGGCGGCCCTCAGAACAGTGAGAGAGAGAGAGAGGAGTAGAGAGACGAGTTCATTGAGAAATGTAGCCAGTTGATTTTCAAACTGGGCCTTGAGACCTGAAGCATTGGGTGAATGAGCTTCTACATGCACTATCTCAGAGCACAGGGATTCTTGCTGAAAATGTCCTTTTAAGTCAGCATCAGAGATAGATAAGGCCAAACATGGCCTTGATAAAGCAAGCCGCTGATGGGTCTGACTGGACACAACAATCATACCTGACAGCCATTATCTCCTTCTTGCGCAGCATGAACCCGTTGTACTACATGAAGAGCATCAAGCGGAATCTGGTCAGCGCATTCACTTGTGGCAGGCACGCATAGTTGGGGAAGTGGCTGGGAAGAAATGTTGTACACATGTATCTGAGACGGCTTTAGTCTCTGAGATTAACACTTTAATAGCGCCCTCTGAGCGCTGTTTGATGGGCTTGAATCTAGCAAGGAGAACTCGAAACCGTTCACGCTAGCTGCACGAGAATGGAGAATGTTGGGTCTGGGGCAAACTGACTGAAAGCCGAGGTACTAGAGGCAGATCGTGGGTGTTCAGATGGTGGGTTACTGAGCTTTGTTTATGTGAAAGTAAGTGGCAGAAATAGTCGGAAGACTAGATGCCATGTACGGTTCAGAAGTGTTCTGGACAGTGTGGATCAAAGATTGGATTATATTTCAAGATACATAGGATTGGAACTGAAGATACGAACCATTCTGACAAACTCAATATATGCACGCGCTTGCTGTTTATAATTATACGTTACCCAAGCGACACGACTGAAGAATTACACCGCCATGATGCACACAAGTAAATGATTATGTAACACGTCACAGTTTTGCACGTTGGTGCATTCATTTCACAAAATACGCCACAAATGATTTAGAAACATTGTATAGACACTGCACTTCCAAAACTAGTCGAACGAGATTAAGAAAAGGCTGAACCGGATCAAAACTAATGATGGCAACATAAGCAGCATGCATGCCAACCTGAATGATATCGTGCACTCTGTGCAAGTCAAACTCAGACTGATTAAACCGCAATTTAGTCATGCATTCATGAATGATCCAAATGCATCAGATCATGTGCACAACTACAGTTGGCATGGTGATCTGCCACCATCGAACCGTCCTCTAAGTGCACGGCGGCATGGGCACGTTTTACACATCAACCATACGTACAATGACAAATTATATTTCGGATGAGTCGCCATGCCTCTGAAGGAACTATTAGTGTCCAAAAACACGGTGTCAGTTCCTGCAACTGATGCATTAAATGGCCGCCCGTACTACAAATGCTCGAGCGCGGCCCAAATACGTAGTCGAAAATATTATGATGAACCGGTCCGTGTCATGCAAATTCGTTTGAATACAAGAAAGCTAGGTGATGACAAGCAAAGATTGAACAGTATTAAAGGTATATAACCGGCATGCGAGGTAACAATTTGCCATGGCATAAATCAATAAATATGCGTGTCTCACGAGTGTGCAATGCGTGGCCGCCCATGTGCTGATGCGCGAATACCGGCACATTCGGCAGGCTTTACGTGCACGCTTCCACTGTGCTTGACTTCAAGTCATAGGGATATCCTGATTGATATAACCCGAGGGGTAAGGCAGAACTGTCGACCGCACTGCACAGGCCTGACACAGGCCAACTTGGTACGTGATCGACTTGAAATGTTATCCATCAATCTGGACGAATTGCTGTAAGGACGGTCGGAACACGTTCGATTACGGCCCTTTTCGGTACCCCTAAACTTTGACGACGTCTGTACAACTGTTAGCATGTACCTAGATCAATGTGACCGTCCTATTCCTGACCTTTACCTTGCACTGAAGCTTGCACCAGCTTACAAGCACTCCGCATAAAACCGGGCTCCTTCCATTAACTAAGAGCGCCTACACTAGAAATGGAAGGGAACGTCATACTTGCTAAGCACCTTGGTCCACAACCACCAGAGCAACCCCCCTGCGACGAACTCAATGATCAAGTTTCTAACAAACGGCGGCATCCGGGCCAGGGGGTTCGACCCCAGCTTTTTCCGCTCCCCGACCAAGTCCTTAAACCTTAGTTTGTCCTGGCTGTGGGTTAGGTAGTAAACTACCCCCCGCATGTGACCCCGGCCCATGACGCCCACCACTTGTTTGGTTCCGTTGACGGCCTTGCTGCGCTTCATCGACCAAGCGAGGTACTGCACGCCACAGAAAGGTGCGCTGTGCGTTGTCTGGTGTGAACGCCATTTCGAGGTATTACAGTCTCCTTACGGTGGCGCACATCGAATACAAGCTCGACTATTGACAGACCACTCCGGATCCGAGAAGCCTAAATCTCAGGTTGAAGAGGAAAGCAAGCTATGAACGCGCCGGGGCAAAGATAACGCCCGACAGAAGCTGATTGGACCACGAGTCAGGCAGGAATGGGAGGTCAAGTTTGTACTTCTGGTTCGCTGAAGTTGGGTAAAAGTGAAACTGATTCCATCCAAGAGTAGACGTTTTCAACGTTGACCTCAACTCCGCGAGGGTAAATGACGAAAAGGCTTTTGACGTCACCTTCGCAGTTTAAACACTATAACAAAGGCACAAAGACAAGCGTATGCTGGGGAGAGCAGACCACCAGGTTTTCGGCGTCTGACTATGTCGATACCATCAAGCAAATCCGCACGATCCTCCACACAAACGTCAGTAATCTTCCGACAAGATCAATGTTCCAGTTAGATCCTTTTTCGCACGCAGGGAGACGTGACGATGTCAGCAGGAATGCTTACGGATCGCCGTTCAATCAGGGAGACTGCACGTAAGACCAATTTCTCACCATTTCTCGTTCGTGCGTCAGCGGCCCCATGAGCCCCGGGAACGTCGCCGCGCACTCCTTGAACGCGACCGACAGCGCGTCGTCGTCCTTGAACAGGTCCATAACATCCTCGGTCATGGTTAACCCTGGCGTGGTTAGAGCGTAAAAGACGAACCACAGGAAGCGGAACCTTTCAAAGAAGCCGAGGGCGGTCCATGCGCGCTGCAGCGTGATCTCGATTGGCCGGTCGCCAAGCACGATCTGGAAACGAAGAACGATGATTGTGAGAAAGTATGGAAGGAGGGCGAAGAGAAAACTCAGAGGAGCCCCCCAGGTTTAATGTAAGCATTGGGCTCCTTGCTAGGGGGTGTTGAGTGACTTCGTTTGACTGGGGAGCTCCCTCTCGGTGCATGTGCGAGTCTTTTGGAACTGGAAACAACCAGCAATAATAAGAAGCGCGGCTCTTGAAAGCAGAGGAAGAGAAGCGAACCTCTGTGGACCGCTTTTCAAGCGAGGACACCTCGATGAAGAAGTCAGTAGGGGAGACTGAAAGGCATTGAGGGCCTGTGTGTTGGGGAGGGAGAAGAAAGTAGCGAGAAGAGAAGACAAGAAGAACGAAATGTGTTTCTTCAGAAACAAGCAGGACTGAGAAAACCAAGAAAGAGGAAAGAAAGAGATGCTGAAGCGACTGAGACACCAGATCCAGTGTTTGAACGAGGCGGTTTAGCCTAGATTGGTCGAAAAATGATCAGAACTGATGCGGCCGATCCCCCAGTCCTACCCTTTCGAACAGACAGTCTTCGAACCTGGGTTCGGAGTTAAACAATCAGACTTTTCACTCAGTAACTTCTGATCCGAAAAGACATGCTTCTGCTCCAAACTTCAGAACGTCCTGGTCATCATGCACAATCACTACAAGAACGTTGGCAGGAATGCCAGTCTATTGCATAGAAGCATCGCTTGTCCGGATTTGTAGGCATCCAGATCGAGGCGCTGCAGTTCTAACGGCGTGAAAACTGACTACGAATGCCTACCTGCGAGCCCAGCTCTTCTGCAGCCACCCTCGCCGCCCGCCACTCGACCCCCGTCTTGACCCCCACTGACTCCGACAACCGGTCAGAAATCGAGCCCAGCGCTAACCTCATTGCCATAGCCGGTCGGCCGCCCAGTTCCAAACTCCGCCCGACCGTGTCGTTAAACGAGCCCCTCCCGCTAAACGACATCAAATTCGAGCTTCCACTGGTGGACGGTTCCGCTTCGTCCTCTGAGTCTTCCACGTACATGATCGCGGCTCGGCTCCGGCAAAGCTCGACGACCACGTTTTCGGGCTTGACCGCGTTCATTACCCGGGTGACGTCGGTGGCGGAACGGCGGCTGAGGTGGGCCGTGCCAACCAGGAAGATGGTCTCAGGTTCTCGGTATCTGGAAGATACGAAGCCAGGTTTTGCCACTAACTGGAAAAATTTAAAGGCCCGACTTTTAAAAGTCGGTTGGGAAAAGCGTTTGAGGATAAGTAGCAAGTGTGGAGCCCGGTTCAAAAGAAGCAATCTAATTATATTTTCTGGAGCTGTAAGCACTCCTACCTTGACATCAAGGTTTGCACAAAAAAACTACTGTATTTGAAAACATGTGAACTGGCAAGGTCCCTCGATATTGACAACAGATCCCCAAATCAAGGACCATGCAACGGCACCCACTCTGCAACTAGCATAAGCGGCTTAAGCGATATTTTAAGTCTTTAAGTGCCAGCTTAAGCAAGGAGACTGCAAAGGAGAAGCACTTACTGAGTTTTGGAAGAGGGGTGGTCAGTACTGGACGTTGCCGAACACTTGACTTCAGATTGTTTCTCCCATGCTTTCTGAAGCCACTCACCGCGAACTGGCTTGAGTGCCAGATCAGTGGTTCAATTCAATGAATCAGGAGCCTTCCATTTCACTGCAAAACCGCCTCCTGAACACAGAAGGTTCTTGCAGTTGCTTCCTCTGCAATAAGCTGCTAGCTGGCTGGCTTCTTTGCATAAGACCTCTCTCTCCAGAACACCCTTGTGTGCTCCCTGAGTTAGTGGACAGATGAATGCACTGTCGGGAAGAAGATATACTGGGGTGGGCTGGAAGGATGCTGTCTTTGGAAGAAAGAGGTTTAAATCAGTTGAAATGAGATAATGCAGTGTGCCCCTCACCCATCCTCCCTCCGTTCCACATAGTCCTCAGGCCTCTGCACCACCATAAGCGTCCCGTCTTCCGCCAGGTCCGATAGCTGTGGGTAGTGCTTATATACATAGGCGCGCGACTGCTTATATAGCGCATGGCGGTGGTTGTAATCAGCAGGCGGTGGCTCAACTTTTACAGACGTCTCCCTGGAAGCTGCAGCAGATATGCAGAATGTCGGAGGTCGCTTGTGTTTGTTGGATTTAATAGCTGGACAATCTCGCAGCCATGCACTTCTCATATTCCTAGTTCCCGGCATCAGAGTTGCAACAGCGCGGCCATTGCAGCAGCTGGGAGATTCAGAAAGTGCCAGCTGCGAGGTGCCCCGTCCAGATTGCCTGTTGAAAGTACACTTTTCTGCCGTTCGCAGAATCAGGCAAGGCATGATGGCGCTGCTGGCCTCAAGACTCAGGAGCTTCGGTCAGCAGCAAGCATTCAATCTATTGCCTGCACTGCCAAGAGCCTCAGCCTCAGGTCGCCTCTTTTCTTTCTCATCCCCCGGCCTCAAACTGCGAAGCTAGAAACTAGAGACAGCGCTTTTCCAAGGAGAGTCTGGGCACTCCGATCGAGTCTTACCTACCCGGAGACCGTCAAGCCTAAGGGATCCCACTGGTCCATGACTGGATCGATGTCCATTTCTTGAAGTGTGTTGCGCAGGGTTTTGGCAATGATTATGAGAGCCAGCAAGGGCCAATGTTTGTGCACAGGTCGAGCAGAATGTTTTCAACCTAATGCACAATGCGCTACCCGATGCAACGATGCAACTAACTAACCAACTGCGCTAAACTGAAGAGAAAACTATGCGTAACGTACGCTAACGGTAACACTAACTACGAATTTGGCTGGGACGCGGCCGCCGAACTGGAATCCGCCGACTGGGCCACCAGGATCCGCCGGGACGCCAGGAACCGCCGGAATGGGGGAGGGCGCCACCGGAACGCCAGGATCCGCCGGAACGCCAGAGCCCACCGGAACGCCGGAATGTGCCAGGACGCCAG